GAAAAATCAAAGTACTGACAATTCAAAAAATATTTTGGATGAAGGAATTGCACCTAACAAATCTTTTTTGTGATTGTGAGCTAATTAACCAGATACGAGCGTAACGAAAAGGATGGGTTAAGTGAAGCTTGATTAACAAGCTCGAGAAAAGGATGAGAAACGAAGGTACTATTAATATGCAGACCAAAAACAATTTCTGAGAACTAAAGCACTCATCTTCAGAGCAATTAATAAACTTGAGATAATACCTTTTCTGTATAAATCACGTTATGGAATCAGATGTTCTGAGAAAGTTTCCCTCATTAATAATAATAAGTTTTAAGAAATGATTTCGTTCGATAAGCTTATTATGATTTTATTACTCTGATCATACCTCAACTCAAGTGATGTCGCAGTGGAAAAATTGCTAAATGTATTCACAGTAGTGCACGTTGGTCAACGGCACTGAATCGCCAGAATCTGCTCCTAATTCCAACTACTTTAGAGCTTGAACTTGAATATTCGTAAATATGAAAAAATTTATGATCTTCCTTTCGTGGTTTAATCGATTCATCCACAATTATGCTAATTTACGGAACTATCAGCATAAATCTGATCAAAATCAATCGATTGTTTGCTCAGAAAATGAACCTGCTAGCAAGCCTAAAAAGAACAAAAAGAGAGCTGCTAACTCTGGCAATCGCTATCCATTATCCATGAGGATTGAGGATGTTCATGATTCTTCCCCTCAAGACCCACCGGTGCCCTTCGTTACTTTTACTGTTTCGACTAATATTAAACCAACTATTATTACAATACAGGTACTAAATCAGCAAACTGCTAGATAACTTTAAAAAAACAGCACTAGATGTCCTCTTTCCATCTCCACGACTTTCTGAATGACCAAACAATTCTAAATTTGTTACCTAAGGACTTCCTGTTTCACAAAATAACTCATTCTCAATCGTAGAAAATGTTTAAAGATGAAAAGACAAATTAGTAAACCTGGAGAAAGTCTTCAGCTTACAAATTTCTTAATGTAAGTTCTTAATGTAATTCAGCTGAAAAATATCTTAATTCAGCTGAACAATTGCAATTCCTTTGAAAGTTTCCCATTTACAATTCATCAGAAAACAACGAGATCTCTCCTGGATAAAGCAAAATTGGAGAACGCATTATAAGAACTAGGACATTTTTATAAGAGGTTCAATCACCCCCAATCTATCACCTTCAATCACCTTCTAAAAAGGGATTACCACGCGGCAATTCGACAAGTTTGTGAGAATATGGACTACCCGAGTTTTCTTTTCTCTCTTTTTTCAATTCAGAATGATTTGATACCACAGGCAACACCAGATGCACATTTGTAGCAAGCCACTTTCTAGGGTGGAGGTTGGACCTCCGATTCAGAGTAGATTCCGATCATTTTGCATTAATAATAAGCTTAAAACGATGTAAGCACAGCACATATATATTACAATTTACATACGCAATATTTATAAATGCACATATACAATTAGATCAAGAGGGAAAATGGTCATTTTAAAGGCAAAATGATATTTTAAAGGATTAATGCCCATCCGAACAACACATTATCGATATGTTAAGGTTTCAGAAAACTAATCAGATGGGTATGTGATGCATGCTTTCACTGTCAATTATTTAAGCTTTTATTGCTATAAGCATACAGTTGTTATAGTTAGGTCCCGTTAAAAGAAGATTTTGGCTCAGGTATTAAAAATCCGAATGATGATATATAATTTTAAAAAGAATATTATCAAGTTCAGAATAATATCGAGTCATCATTACTTTACTGAAAAGAGCAGCTTTTGATGAATCATTCATACTGGTCATTGCAAAATTCCACTAACATTGACCGTAAAAATCAAGCATTTACCCTTAAAATTATTATTAAGCATTAAAAAGCTGTTACCTGTCGGGCCAAGTAGGAAGAACATCTGAGCACAATTTGTAATAAAATAAACAAGGAAGCACTGTGGAGCATAATACGATAGCTGATGCACCCACTAAATTAAGTATTTTACCAAAGCGGGGAATAGACAGGGCTACGAATAGGACAAAAAGGAGTATTGTGACTCTTACCAGAACTCTTTGCCAACCAAATTCTGTAAAAAAAAAAGGAAACTCAAATGTATGAAGTTTATAATTAGATTTTAGCGAATAACATTATCGACAAATATCTCGTAAGTAAATTCAAATCTAATAATTCTTACAGTAATAAAAACTAATACAAAAATATTAGGGTGCAGGTTAAGTTCTAAGTTCATATTTTCGAAGTTATATACACTTCTTGTCTAAGTTTTCGGGGGAAGAAAAAGCTTTAATGTGTTTTCTGAAGATAAATTAACCTTATACGTGCTATCTTAAGAATAGGTTATTAATTTCCTGTAAACTTTAGCCTTTGTTCTATAAAACTATAATGATCGCGTATGTATGCGGCCACAAAAACAATATAATATCCTTTCTCACGTTAGCAACGAAGAGCTGTAAGAGACTGAGCTATAAGCTGGGCCGAGAGGAAGTGTAAAAAATATACTTTTCATTTAAGCAAAGAAATTGTACTGTATTTTTACTTGAATCGTGTTTCTTAATTTACGTAAGCTACCTATTATTTTAGATACATATTTTAGTTTTGATGATGCTTAATAATTCACGCAGATTGAGATAGCGGTGTTTCAAGGAATAAAGCTAAACGGGATAAAAAAAAATCTATATATTACTTATAGAGAAGTATGTTATTTATCGCAATCTACTTTTTTCTCTCAACCTTGGAATACTACTTCCTTTTTCACCTACTTTATTTATATGTTTTTTTTTATTCCTTTTTTTTCATCTTTTTCATTGGTTTTTATGGATTTTAAAATTTATAATATTTCTGAAATAAATGATTTCAAACTGTTTTGACTTGTAATTTAGAATTTTAAATATTTGGAAATTCTATAAATAATTCGTCATAAATATATTTTCAATGTAGTAGTATTCAAACGTAGGTATATCAATATTTTAATGTAGTATTCTAATGTAGGTTGTGTATTCAAAGTAGCATTCGAATGTAGGTATGTAAATTGAATAAAATAAATGTTAAGCAAAGATTTCAGAGGATATCTGTGTCACATAAGGTAATTTTGCATTTTAGAACATTTGCAGCTTTATTAACATTTTAGAACTTAATTTTGAGTAGAGAAACCGCAAAATGAGCATAATACCTAGTTAAACTACTGCATTATACTTAGATTAAAATCGTCTAGTATCCAATGAGTAAGCGAAATTAAATCGGCTTAGGAAGCCATGTGAAAAGATTTGCAAAAATTTTCATGGGTTAATGAACGCAGCGAGTAGGGACTAGGGCATTTTAGTTTAATATAATCCAAAATTTTTCAAAACTTCAAAAATTCAGTCGTAAATGTAACATGAGAAGTAAATACGTTGACTCACTATCGGGAACATTTAAGATGTCTTCAAATTCTTGACTTGTAGCGTTGATTACCATTAAGAAAACAAAGAGAGAACGAAAGGACATGAAAAATAATACTATGGTTCTGTATACAGAGGGTGGTGTAGAATCTGTAATATCCATATGTACAGTATCCCCATACACATGATAGCCAAATATTGTTATCGGAATGTACATCAAGAAAACGACTAAAAAAATGTGTTTAGAAAAATATTGACAATTAATTTTTTTACTTTAAAATTTCAAAATAATAAATAATTTTGTATCATAAAACAGGAGAAAATTTCTTAATAAATTAGTTGCAAACTAATTCTTAACCAAATGAGATGTTCAAGCTGACATCAGCTTGAACATATCATTTTGTTAAGAATTAGTTGATGATGCTTATATGATGATGCTTATTCAAACATATGGTGATGCTTATTCAAAACTGAACTTCATTGTAACGGCCTGTATACGCAGACTTGCTCAACTAAATTTAATGTATTGTAACACCTCAACACCAGTGATCTAGTGGTGTCCCCAAACTTTTTATTGCCACAGACCGGTCAACGTTTCATAATTTCGCCGCAGCCAACTGAAATTGGTGAACTCTGATTGTTTATATTTAAGATCGCTTTGATTTAATAATTTGATTTTTATATCTACCTTCTAATAAACATGCCTTCTAATAAATATTGTTAATATGCCTTCGAAATAAAACGCAGCTACTTGCGCCGTATTTGTGAGGCTTTTGGTGACGACTTTCAGTTCCCTGTAAGACTCTCGTACATTGAAAGTCGCGCAAACCCGAGAGAATACACCACAGTAAATAAAATGGATATAATTTAATGACTCTTGAGTGACCCGGTACCTTTTGATCCACTGCCCGATACACAGAAGAACAGTTAATCTAGAGGAAACTACCAATATAACCAATTGCTTAAGTTACAATGCATATAAAATTTTGACACTGAAAAGCACTTTTAATTATCTTGCCGTCAAAAACAAACCATATGCTAATTGATATTTTAATTTTGTGAAGAGCGTAGTTTTTACTGTATATTTAGCACATACGTAATCTGCCTACTTGAATATAATGAGACAATCTAATACGTAACAGTGAAGTTACTGATTCAGTTCAACCTTGGCTTAACTTCTATATTTTGCCTTAAATAATGCATCGTGTGCATTAGTTGATTGCTGATAGCAATTCGAGTGAGTAGAGAAAAAGCCTTTTAGTGACTTAATGCAAATTAACTGCAAAATGCAATGATTTATTTTTATATCTTTTAAAATACTTGAGAAAATAAAGATCATGCCTAGCTTTTCTTTTTTGTTCAAAAGTTTCGCATTGGTAAAACGTAACCAATCAAATTGTTCACGTCTTATTGTTTGAACTCTGGGCCTTTTTAAATGCCGGAAAAGAGATGCTTTCTTAGGTTATTGCCGACAAGACTTAGAACCCTCTCCCATTCCAAAATCACTTAAAGGCTGTCACTTAGCATCTTTACCCACTAAGATCAGCGAAATTTAATAATTTTGCAGAATCCTGTATTTTAAAATTCTACTCTCGTCTCCATTTTCGTAATAAGAAAGAATATACGTAAATATGAAAATATGGTATATACGTACTAGTAAAGCCTGTTATGACAGCCCTCGGAAATGCATCTTTGTTCTTCATATCATTTTGAAAAGTCGGAAAACTAGCTGCCCCACCAAATGAGAAGAATATTGATCCCATAGACAAAAAAAAAGATAGAAAAGTAGGATTTTTGTGGGTTACTTTCAAACTAGTCGATGAGGCATGTTTTGCAATAGCTACAAGCAGCATAATGATAGATCCGATGATAGTGACAAGGGCCAAAACAGCAGCTATCCTAAAGAAAGAAAGTTTTTTCCTAAACATATCATAAGGAACTAAAGTTAATCTGTCATAAAAAATGAAAATAGTCTAACCTGATATTATTATACGATACGGTTTTGAAGTACCATGATTTATGAATGTCATTTTGTAGCTGTTAACACTTGCATTTGAAAAATTGCATTTTTTTCTGTTTTTTGTTGTGTTGATTACATTTTTCACTTGCTGATTTATATCAAAGTTATATTTTGTTCCTACCATTACCATTCAAGTACTTTTTTTTTAAGGAGATGGGACTTTTGGGAAGCAATCGACAATTTCATTTAACTCAGCCTTCTCACTCCCATCATCCACCTATAAATTTACACCAAGTCATATTAAGTATCATTCATATGCGTCAAAAATGTAAATAAATTGAAACTTGAGCTGCACTGGTTCAGGGGATAGAGCGTTCGTCTCCCAATGAGGTAATCCAGGTTCGTATCCCAGCGGGGTAGGTTGATAGGAATTTTGCTCTTGTCTCGCACTGACCGCAGTGCTTACGTAAAATATATTTAGTAACAAACGGATCAATTGGTAGAATCCCATTACCGTCAGGCTAACCATGGAAGATTTTCATAGTTTCTCCCTGCATACAGCGCAACCACGGGCTACTTCCATTAAAAAGTTCTCCACGAGAGCTGGTTTGTCTCAATGCTTGACACGATGTGATCATCATGAGCTATCATTCATATACGTCAAAAGTGTGAATAGGCTAGAACCTGCTTATTCACACTTTTGACGTATATGAATTGGTGGTGATTCATCTTAAAAAGCTTTTCGTCTTCCAATGAGATGATCCAGATTCAAACCAGATTTGGTTGACACGAATTCTTTTCCCGACTCGCACTAGTACACAGCAGTGCTGACATAAAATATCCTCAGTGTATGACCGATCTTGGGTTTAAATCTCCTTGCCATCAGGAAAACCGTGAATGATTTTTTCCATGTTACGCAAATGCGGGTTAGTTCCAGTAAAATGTTCTGCGCGAAATCCAGTATGCCCTAATACTTGGTTCATGAATTCCCTTGTCTTCTGGGGCTGGGTTTACATACTACAAAGCTAAGGAGTTGAATATTGATAGTTATAAACTCAGAATTGGGTAGGCTGTTTAATACCGGTTATAAAATAAAATATAAAATGAGCTAGATCTATAGAACTGATATTTTTTGGTATTTACTAATTTCAAGCTGTGGTAAAAAAACCTATTACTACAATACCTTTATAAGCTTCTAATATTAGTATATTAAGTACCTATTATTTCAACACCTATTTTAGCTACCAATATTATATTAGATACCTATTACCAGAATACTATAAATACCAATTATTACAATTATTTTAACCTCATCCAATGAAAGTTTGGCGATTTATTGCTTACCATTAAATATATGAGCATGGCAACATAGAAAATTTTACTCACTTCGAATAAAAGAATGCAGAATTGCTGAGATGTTTTAAGAACATTATAAATTTAAGTATTTTATAATTTATTCTGTAGATCGAAAGCAATATTATATACTTTTTAACGGTATTTTATTAATATCGAAAAAGGAGAGGAATTTTAACTTTTTCATGAAGAATGAAGGACCGATTATTCAAAACATTACATAAGTACTAATTTTTATTAATGGTAATCACGCTTAGTAATATTTAACGTCGAAAACAAGTGTGAAAGGCTTATACGATATTATTATACCAGAAATCTTTTGGTGTCCCAAACCACATCATGGGACATATTACGGCTGCTAAAATAAGAATCCAATAACAGAAAGGTATTCCCCATGATGATGGAATCAATTTGGCTATCATTTCGGCTGGAAGTAACAGATACACTATTGAAATACCTAAAAAATTGATCTCCAAAACAACAGACAAGAAGTTCCTGGAAGAGAAAGCATTTATTTTGTTGAATAAAAGCTATGCATTTAACTAAAAAGTATGATTTAGACTTTTTCAACTAGAAATACGAATGAAAATTCTACGAATCAAACCTCATTCATCCAGTTTCGAGAAGAGCTTTGTTTGAAAATGACCATTGTAAGGAACTTCTTTTAAATTATTTTCGAACTGAATATTATTTTAAAGGGTTCCATGTGTTTTAAAATTTAAAAAAAAAATACTCTTAATATTTTCCAGCCGTGGCAAAGAGATACTAAAAAAATACAAAATGACTTCAATTTTTTCTAGCAGTTTCACTATCATTAAACTGAATAGATTCTTTTCAAATTTCTCTTTAAGTTCGGTTTGCGTGAAGTTATTTGGGTTTGCAACACAAAGCTGCATTGTAAGCTTCTGGAACGTAAGAAATTAATTATTCAGTTGAACTGAATTTCTATTTAAGAGAAATTGAGAGAAAAATTCTGCTTACATTCTTATTTTCGCATTACATTTATTTACAGAACTATACGAGCTTGTGTGTGTTTATTACAAAGAACGTCTCATAAACCCATTTTATAAAATAAATAGAAAAGCAGGTAGCTTTGAATAAATAAAAAGAGCATAAAGTTATACCGTGTCTACCCCTTGTGGATCGGATTTTTTTGTACTATAACTCTAAACTTTAAGACTTAAAAGGCACCATCTGAAATATGATAATTAATTAGGGCGTGCATTAGTTAACGAAAATCTGAGTCAAAAACATATTTTCTCTGAATAAACAAACTTTTTTCTGTTGACTGATTTGAATTATTGACACTCAAAATACGCGGATTAACCGCAATTCTAGGAAATATAGTCCCAATTGGAATCAATCGGTGGAAGTGCGGTCAAATTTTTGGAGTGTTGAATGTCGAATGCTTAACGTTTATTTTAAGACTTGTGTATTTCGGTATAACTAGATGATTTTTTAAGCGAATTCTCAGTTTTTGTTACACAATTATAAAATTCATTTGTCCATAGATAAATCATAATAAAAAATTGTCTATTATTTTTATTATTTTATTTGATGATGTAAAAATTTTTGAATTGCAAGGTATACAAATCTTTGCCTCATTTTAAAGTATTAAATTTGAAATAGAATAATATAAAATTTGTAGGAACTAGGTAAATTTTAAAAAATTTATTGAATTTTAAAATTTACGTTAAAAAAATTTGTTTTCCCGTCAATAATTTTTAAAATTTCAATTAAATTTCATAGTTCCTCATTTAAAATTACATACTTTAAAATCTCTCTATATCAAAAAATTGTAAGTCCCACTCCAGTTGTTTTGAATGTTACAATTTGTTTTGCTGCACAAAAACTGTAAGACTTAAGTACTTGAAAACACAAAGTCGCAGGAAAATAGGAAAATATACAGAAAGTACAATGGCATAAAAAATTAACACTCGATAAGTACTTCGAGAATTATTAAATGTTAGACTTTCAGCAAAAAAAACAAAGAGTCCCAGTCTGCAGTTCTCAGAAATGCAATTAAAATAATTTGACTTGCTGCAATATTTGTTTATGAACTTAACACGATCTTTTTCTTTTAATTCTAATTTGTTTTAAAGTTATTGCAATTTTAAATGCTTTCTTTCTGATTTTTTTCACTTTTTTTGAAATTATCGTAACATTTTGTTTGGTTGTGCAGAAACTATAAAACGTATAAATTTGAAATTACGAAGTCGTCTTAAAAATGTATGAGAAAAACAATGGAACAAAAAAATTTAAATTCGATAATAAGTTTTTTCAGCAAAATATTAAATGTTAAATTTTAAATATAATAATAACTTGTGAACCGCTCTACAGTCAGTAGAAATGCAGTTACAGAGTTGAAATTTGACGTGTTTAAGGGCTATTTTCATTTATGAACTTAAAGCGAGAATTTGTTTTAAATTCCATTTTATTGGAAAATTATTGCAATTGTGAGCTTTTTTTCGGGACTTTTCTTTCACTTTTATTGTTCCAAATTGCAACTACATATTCATTTTTTTTTAAAAAAGTGATATTTATAGCGATCTTTGTTTCATAAACTCGCACTTGATTCAATGCGAAATATCACTAAAAAGTGAATGAAGATTTAAAAAATAAGAAAGTGAAAGATAAGAGGATACCAGATAAACATAGTTAAAAATGATATATTTTAAAATTAAAGACTGAAAACAAATTGAAAAATGCTTCCAACTCGATCTGCTGTATGATATAAGGTTATTATATATTGTTAACATTTAAAATTACTTCGAATTTATTTCTTCTTATTGTGTCACACATTCCTAAGTGTCAATTCATATATCCCTTATTTCGTTATGATTAACATATTAACAAAATGTGCTTACATAAAAAATATAATAATTATATATTTTATAAACATTCTCTTACCGATTTTTAAGAACAAAAAAAATGGAGATGAATGAGAAGCAACTTGTTGGCTCGTGAGGGGAGCCTCCTCGCTTACCTAACAATTCAAAACATTTTTTACCGTTATCAAATAATTTAATAAAACAAATAATAAATAATTATTAAAAATTATTTTTTACATGAAATTAACTTTTGTTGAATGAGTTTCATCATTAAGTGCAGAAAAACCTGCAAGAAAAATCTGCTTCGAATTCTCTCGGATTACAACGAAATACGTAAAACGTTAAATTAAAATTAAGGGATCCAAGCATTTGACTGCTCTTCTATTTTAACTAGTGAGACCTTATCTCTCAGATTGTGGTTGACATCAATGTTATGACAATCAAGAATCCGCGTCCGACAAGAAAAATCATTTTTATTCCGAGAAAGTAGGTTTTCAGCAAAAATCTGATCATCAGGTCAAAAGTTACTCAAGGTGTTGACTTTTTTTATTTTACATACTGTACATCTAAGGTTACTTTGGAATTCGAACTCGCATTTTTATATAAATCACTTAATACCTACAAAAATACGAAACAAAGAAATTTCCGTATTCATAATATTATTTCAAGCAAAACATAAAAAACAAACTTATAATAATTTCGTTTTTCATAATTTTATTAAATTATTCTGGAATTAGACAGTTTGAAATCAGTTAAAAATAAGTTAGGAAGTAAAATAATATACGTTTATTAATGGTTTTTGAGCCACAATTCGGGAATTAATAAAACATTTCTCTTACCATAATTTTCACAGTTTTGACATTTATAGGAAAAGAGTTTTATTATTTTTCTTATGAGTATATTTACCTCATGTGTACTCCATATGCTTTTTCAGCAATGGCTGGATATGGCTTCCTGTGTCTAACATTTCTGAATTCGACATATCTTTCTTCAAGAATGTTCCAACAACGAGCTAAACATAATCCAGCATACAATGAAGCTGAGCAGCACAATATTATAAACACTATTCCACCCCAACCTATAAAATGATTTTTAAACGTATGCATTATCTACCTTATATGTAGGCGAATATATGTAAATACAACAATGTAAAGTGATTTGAATTTTTTTTAATAAACGAAATTGAAGAAAAAAAATTATCTATAGGATGTTTATTGATAATTGCTTTTAATATAATTTTTTTTAGCAATCTTGTTAAAATTTAAGTCAAAAAAATGTGTATATACATTAGGGGTCACAAATTAATATTTAAGCTAGGAAAAAACAAAAACAGTATCGAAATCTGACAAAATGCTAAGCAGGCAGAACTAAGAACAACAAGATCTGTTTGTTCACCAGAGAAAACCTGGAATAATTAATATTTCATTCTAAGATACCTCGAAGTTTCATCAGGCAAACAAACTATTTTTCTCTACTCCTGCCTGCCTCTCTATTAATTAACATATTACGATATCATTTTTATTCTTCCATTTCTGGAATAATAGTTTGTGATTCCTTATGTGCATATGTTTGTTTTTACTTCATTTTTGACATTCTAAAAATTGCTGGTAATTAATAAACATCTTATACAATAAGGTTATCAATTCAGAGGTTGAAAACGTAAAGAAGGTATGGTACATCATAAGGATTAAAAATCATATAGCCACCCCAGACCAAAAATGTCATAGTGCACCGCTAAATTTGCTGCCCTATTATGAACAGACTATTCAATCACATTTGAAGAGAGAGAACTTTTTCTTAATCTAAATTATTTTAATTTAATTTTTTAATTAATTACTTTAAAAAAAACGTTCTTTAAAAAGTCCAGATTTTGTTTTTTTATTTACAAGATATTTCGAATTTATTGACTTGGCAACTAAAGTGCTAAGTTCGCCAATTAGTTCACAAAATTGAATAATACATAAAAACGGCAATTTTTAGAGCTACTCTTGAACACAATATTTAACATTTATCATTTATCAATAGAATTTTTAAAAAAATTTAAACAATTTAGACGAATGCGGGTAAAAATGAGCAAAAACGGCCTATATATTATAAGGAAGAGCCCCTAGCGCTGCGTGATGACATTTCCTGTCATAGGTTGATGTTCAACTTTTGTTCTTTTTTATGTGCCCTACCTCCCTTCTAAGTTTAGATTATAACTGTTAACAAAATTATAACTGTTAAGTAGATTATAACTGTCATACTGCATAATAAGGAAGTGCCTCTACTGATATAGGATAACATATCCGGTCATAGGTTGTTATGCGATTTTTGTTTTTATGTTGTATTCGCATCTGTTTCTTTTTTCATATTCTACCTCTCCTCTAAGTTTATAACTGTTATACTGATTCATACTGTATATTGTTCATTGTAACATTTTAAAAGATTTGAGATGATTATACAGGATTTGAAATGATGGAAGAAAAGCGATATAAAAGCGTTACCGGTATCTGCTAAAGCTCTAGGTAAAACAAGTACTCCACTGCCTGCCATATTGCTCACAATAAAGAATGTTCCGATCCAAAATGAGTAGCCCTCTCTTTCTCCTAATTTCTTCTCCACCCTGTTAGCAGTAGATGTAGCTGAAGCAGCAGCAGCCGGGTCTATCATGTTTGCTTACCTTCTGAAATAATTGTAGGATAGAGTTGTGCTGGAAATAATGATGCACAATACTGAAAAATACATTATAAATAAATAAATATAAAAATAATGAAAGAAAAATAATCCTTCAAAAAAAAAAAAAAAAAAAAAACTTAAGTAAAGTTCTAAGATGACAAAAATTTTTATTCATTTTTTTATTTTAATTATGGTTAGTTGACCAAATTAAAGCTACGAAGCTCATATTAGTTTTCTTTATTATAAATTAAATAATACAAAAAATACACACCGAATAAAAAAGAATGATTTGGTTAAAATAGTAATCCAATTTATGAAGAATATTAAGGATACTGTTCACTCAAAAAAGTTGGAAAAAATAATATTGAAGCATATACAATGTATACAAGGGAGATGACAAGTCAATGCTGTATGATGATATAAACATAGAGATTTCAATTAAATATTTTATTTATTTATTAATGTTTTTTTTTTCTTCAAATGTAGGTTTCATAGCAGCTTATGTGATGTTTCACTTCCTTGACTATACAATCAATGCTTTAGATTTTAATCGAACCGCCCTCGTTAATAAAACCATTCGCGAGCTTATTTTAATGGGACTGTCCAATAATAGTTAATTAGTAGAGAAAGTTTGACTTATGTTAAGATTTTTGTTTTTGAAGAATGTATAAATTTCAAAAAAATTATCGTTCAAGCAAGTAATATAGCTATCTGAAAATATCCTAGCGAAATTATTTGATGCTTAATTTGATGGTTATAACAAATCGATATTCTTTATCAAAAAAAATTTAAACGCAAGCGGCACTTGTCACTTATTTTCGATAAAAACATAGACAAACAAATTGCGGGAGAATACGAAGATAATTAAAATTAAACTTAAAATTCTCAAAAAGTCAATACTAGAAAAATTAAAAGTTTTATTAACTCTTATTTATACTGAAAATGAATAACATAATGCTTAAAAAGACTATTTTTTTAGCATAATATGTATTTTCGCATGCATATAGCTGCAAACAGAAAATAAAATACAGTACTTAATTTAGTTACTACTTTATAAGGAATGAGCACATTTAACCTTGAGAACATTGTAGTTTTGAGTAAAATTAAGTAAAAATACTTTTATTAAAAATATTTGTGGCCACTTTTTATGACAAACGAAAGTGAAAAATGTGGCTGCTCATCGCATGGACTGATAGAATTAATAGGGAAACAGAAGATTTGTAGGGTACTCCAAGGGTACTATTTCAACTTTAACATATTTAACTTATACAATCTATATATATATTTCTCTTACACGGCACCAAAAAAAGCCTCATTACAACTCCCCGAATGGCAACGTTAGAAAATCGACCAATGATTGCTGCTAAAAATGTCACATGGCAAATGTCACATGAGGTGGCTCAACATATAGCGCTTTTAAAAACGGAAACAATAACCAGAGTGAGCATTATCAGGTTGTTCAATTCAGATTCATGCCCTAAAAACATGATAATATTTAATTTAAACTCAATTAGGAATTAATTAGGCTGGCCTTCTCCATGACTATAAATAAGTCACAAGGTCAGACTTTTGAGAAAATCAGTTTAGTATTGACTAAACAAGTTTTTAGTCATGGACAACTTTATGTTGGCCTGTCAAGAGTTAAGTCATTTGACAGCCTTTCAGTAATTGCTCCAAGATGCCAAATCTATAATTGTGTTTTCAAAGAAATTCTAAATGCTTAGTGTTAATTTCTTAGAGCTTTGCAGAAAAAAATGTTTTTTGGAAAAAATTTAATTGAAACTTCTATTGGCAGTAGGCAAGGGGAACTGCCAAAATCAAAACTCCCCGATTAGAAATGCAGCATGGCGACCTCCACGTGGTATTTCTCGGGTAATGCTAACAGCCATGCATTTTAATTTATTGTATGTAAAACATCCTTATTTTGTTCTAAAATGTTATGTACTTTATCACAAATGTTAATTAATATAGAAATTGATTTCAATAATGCTGATCACCAAAAAATATTTCATTTGGCGATAAAACAAATTTTTGTGTTCTTGAAAATGAAAGACTTTTTGAGGGTTATTATCTCACAAGGAAAAGTTAGGGTTTAAAGTTTATATTTTTAAATAATAAAATTTTTTTCTAAAACTTTCAGAATTTCTAGCATTAACTAATTTATTATACACATTTAGTTGAATTTAGGTGAGTGACTGCAATATTTGATAATTTATTTTGCTAATATGTTTTTCATTTAGCTAATGCTTTAATTTTTTCACCATGTACAATCAAAATAGCTAATTAACTTTTAATAAAAGCCAATAAGAACAGTGATAGAATTCTTCTACATGAGTACAATACTATGTCTTTGATGATAAAATACTATGTCTTTGTGCTAGAACATTGTGTGCATTGAGCGCAGCGAGCCATGGTTCACGGCGTGAACGACATAGGATTGCGTAGCAATTCTCGGGGGTTGGCAAACGTAAGCGAGCAGGGGGCGGAGCCTCCTAGTACTTATTTAAACATCAATATGCAACAATATTTATTTGACAAGATGTGTTCAAATAGTTTAAATAGCCATAATCTTGGGTTGCATAATCATATTCTATCAAAAGAATATTGTGTTAATATAAAATTAAGAACACGTTGTTCAATGAAATATATGACAATATAGTTGCACAGTTTTTTCCTTTTTTTTAATTTCTTTTACTTACTTTTGAATATCATAATTTTCATACAGTAAACACATACATCATTATAGCGTGAATTCTTAATTTCTTTTTTAATCAAAATTATTGTTTCAGAAATTATTTTCGGAATCATTTTATTTATATTGCATATATATGTATTTAAAAGAAAGGAACTCAAATATAATTTTACTTTTATTAAATAAAGAACTTTAAAATAGAGTTTACCTTTTATTTTCTAGTAAGCTTTAAAAAAATACACAAAGTATCACAAATATTTAAATTCTCAATGCAAATACAACTTAATAGAATTAAGATAGAGAAACTAAATACTGTCTTAAGTCATTTAATACTTATGACAGCTAATGAAATTTAGTTATACTACAGATTTTAAAGAAATCAGTATTATCGTTAACAAATCAACTAGATATAAAAATACGAGAGTAATTTTTTGTGATAAATATAAAATTCATTAAAAACAAAGTTAAAAATCGCAAATGGTAAAAATTTGATTAAAAGCCTTAAAGGATGTCCAAGCCAGAGATCACTGAGTGGAATAAAACAATAAATTGTCATTTGCACTATTCCTATTGAAAGATTCATATACAAATCCCAATCATAGAGTTGAAATACTGTTGACTACTATATCAACTCTTGATCCCAATAGAAACGCATTCTTGTGGGTCTGTCTTGCTGTGATCTGTTACTAATTGTTCATTGATGGTTTTTTTCTAGTGGGCAAGTAAGTAAAGCGATCTCAGCTTAGACATCTCCCTGCAATTTTTGGAGTTGCAATGGTACACCTTTCTCATTAAGATAAACGATGATTTTAGCCTACAAGTTACGTCCTCTTTAAGAGGTAAATAATCTCTTTAGTCAATTTAATGAAATTTTTATTTCATAACGTTTATTTAATAAAAATAAAGGTATTCAATAACAATTGTACCATTTGTGATTTCGAGAGCTGTTTTCGCTGAATTTTAAGTCAACTTCAGTAACAGTAGGGAAACATTGCAATTTTTCAAAAAGGAGTTGTTTTACGTGAGCTTAGGACTGGAAAAATATGCTATAAAATATGAAGAATCAGAACACAAAAGACTGATCAGAAAAATAAAACATTCATATTTGTTTGAGTTGAATTTAAAACAGATTATGTAATAAAATTTTGAAGACTTTCTTCTCGGAGCATCTAACAACGACACATCTAATTAACTCTGAAATTTTTATTTAAGAAGCGTAAATATACATCATTGATTGATGCATCAGCAAACAGTTTGCACTGCAAATATGATAATTTATTAAGTTTCCACTCAAATAAATTCGCTTCATTCTGAATAAAAAGTGCACCATAGACAAACAAATTGCGNTTATGTAATAAAATTTTGAAGACTTTTTTCTCGGAGCATCTAACAACGACACATCTAATTAACTCTGAAATTTTTATTTAAGAAGCGTAAATATACATCATTGATTAATGCATCAGCAAACAGTTTGCACTGCACATATGATAATTTATTAAGTTTCCACTCAAATAAATTTGCTTCATTCTGAATAAAAAGTGCTCCGAATTTACTGCTGAACACTCATTTTAACAAAATTTTTAAAGACAGTTTCCCTCTATATAAAGAAATTGTAAGCGCCACCGCTGTTTTAGGTGCTCATTAACTTAAAATTTCATTTTGTTTCGCTACCCGCACAAACTATTAGACTTAAAATTGCGATATATATATATATATATATATTGCGCAGAATGTATGATAATCCATAGATATACATAGAGAAATGTACAGGAAGTAACACAGAGATTGAAAAATATTTAAATTTAACATCCGATATTAGTTCGAGAGTGTTTGAATTACAGTAAAAAATTGCTGTGTTGGTAGATTTGTGTATTACTGAAATACAACGGCGGAGTTTCAATTTGAAATCATAAAAGGGGCAATTCGTGGATTATTTATTTTGGCAGTTTTTTTTTTAAAAAATATTGGCGATTTATTCATTGTTGTAGAGAAATTTGTTCATCATATCCAAACCCTTGCAAGACCCATTTCGCCAATGGGTAAAAAAAAACAATGATGATCGAATGAAAAGCAATTTCTGGGTTAAGGAGCGGAAATGCTATATCCCTACTTATGAAAATGAGCTAGCCGATCAGACTCGTCTTTTCTAGAACTGATCTCGTCTTTCTAAACAGTAGCTTTTGGAAATGCGCTTTTAAACAATTGGATGCTTGCAAGTTACGTAGGTAAATCGACGCATTGTTGATTCAAAAACTAATCACGTTCGAATCGCAGGAATGACGCTAGCTTACAGGAATCCAATAAAATCTAATTTAAATCACACGGTTAGGCATAATCATTTCTTCTTAATTAGTTGCAAATATCTAATTGCATTAATTGGTAAATACCATAAATCTGTTCTCTGCTACCAAAACGGGGGTGCCATCGCCTTGTCTCTAGAGAGGATCAAAATTTTAATAGCCTGTCTTTGGATTTTTCTCAGCGGCCATTCTTGCTACATGTGATTTATGCACTTTCCATTGCCATCAAAGCAAATTGAGAATTTGAATGGCAAGTTCATTGCAAGAAAATGTTTTTCAGTCTTCCTAGAAGGCAATTGGAAGTGAGAGAACCAATGATAGAGAGAATTACTCGTTAGAAATGTATTCTCTAACGTAATGTAATGAAATATAAATTGAGATTGAAAAATAAATAAATAACCAAACAAGCACAGCGCACATACGTTAATTTAAGTTGCAGTGCAATTGAGTCTTAAAATTTATTTATAATATAAATTAGTTGAACTGGCAACAGGAATTTCACTTTTTTTCTACTGCTTTTTGATCGCTGATTTGTTTACATTTTACACTGCTTTCCTGTCTGGTTTTTCCTTATAATTTTCAGATTTAATGACCATAACAACTTCAGTTTTCAATTCATCATGCTATTATTGCTTGAACTAATTTGATTTGCTATGCATCAGTTGCAGAAAATGTTCATAGTAAGCGTGACATGCATTCTGTAAAAGTTCATCAATATGCCTTTTTGCGGTATGGTAGGCGTTTTGTTATTGTATTTCGTGTTTTTTTCTTTATTTATGGTCAATTATTTTATTTCAACATTTCTTTCTGTCGCTTTTTATATTTTTTATTATATGCCAGTTTTTATTTAATTTTATTTCTGGTTTCTCTTCACCATATTGAACTCAAAATTAATTAAATCTTTATCTGGTGTTAGTCAATAACTTGGAAAAATATACTTAAAAACCACGAGCCTATTGGTTTTTCACTTTATAATCGATCACACAACATGCATTCACTGTTATATTAATAATGCATTTTATAATGCAAATAGGGAAACATTTATTTAAACAAATTATTTTTATGCTCGAAAATATTTACTGTCTCTATTACAGTTATGAAGTTATTGTTCAAACATTTGTGTTGAAGATTTACTTATTATCTACATTTTTTAAATGTATTTGCATGAAATATATTAAATTGAATATGCACTAGGAGCGTTAAAGTTAAAAATATCCTATTTAATTTATTTATGTTTAAGTGCGTTAGCTTAAAAATTAAATTAATTTTGTGTCATATTCACATAATTATAAATGACCTACTGCATCTTTACAATAATATATTATTTAGATGATTTGGAAAAACTTTTGGCTGTGGCTCATAATCGCTCTCTTCATTGCTTCATTTGGACCAGTTTTATTGATCACTTTAATCTTCAGCATTTTAATTCTAATTTTGAGGTAAGTAAGAAGCTTTAATTGTTTATTTACATGTCCACAATTTAAAAAGTTTTAGTAGTTTTTACGTGAAAGCTTTCTAAATTTTTTATTATAAAGTCAAGTTTTTTTCTCTCATTAAAAATTTCTATATATTACCTATTCTTGAATTTTATTGTATAAAGTCTGAAGTATGTTCTAATATTTGTTGTATCTTTCTGTGTAGTATATTTCTGATTACTCATGTCTATAGCCGAAGAATATCAGTTGAAAAAAATGATTTACATAGAAGAGTTGCTTATCCTACTCCACTTTTAAAGGTAAATGAAAAATATATTTGCTAAAGAGTTTTGTTGCAATTCTTTAAGTTTGTACTATCTACTAGGTATTTTTATTTTTGATATTTCTTTTATGCTTAGAATGATTTACTTTATATGGCACGTTATATTTTTGAAATGGATTGCGTTAAAACTTGTTTCTAGTTAAATTTTCCCTATCTATGCGTTTTAATATTTTTGATAGATTTTTATGCTTGAATTTATTAGGCATTTTTTTATTTTTGAAATTTAATGGGTTAAAACTTGTTTCTGGTTTCTAAAGCAGAAGATGCTAAAATTTTGATAGAAATAGCATTTTTATATTGGTGAGTTTTTCCTCTTTTTGATGGAATAATGCTCTTTTTCAATTTGATTAAAAGAAAAATTAAAAAAAATTTACTCTATTACGAATTTTTAAATAGGAATATTTTTTTAAGTTTTTTCTTACCCATGTAAACCTGATTTCAAATTACCCAATGTGATTTCTGTTTAAGTGATTTAAAATTACCCATCACAATTCAGATTCATACTCATTAAAATCACGTACTGTGTTTCATGTTCGTAAAATTTTAAATTTCACATTGTGAAAGATATTTGTTCTGATTTAAAATTCTATATTGTTATTCATATTCAAAAGATTTAAAAATCTCATATCTGGATTTCTATTATTCTGTTTTAAAAATCACACATCGAGATTTATATTCACGGTCATTTTAAGGTTTTTCTTACCCATGTCAACCTGATTTCAAATTACCCAGTGTGATTTCTGTTTAAGTGATTTAAAATTACCCATCACAATTCAGATTCATACACATTAAAATCACGTACTGTGTTTCATGTTCGTAAAATTTAAAATTTCACATTGTGAAAGATATTTGTTCTGATTTAAAATTCTATATTGTTATTCATATTCAAAAGATTTAAAAATCTCATATCTGGATTTCTATTATTCTGTTTTAAAAATCACACATCGAGATTTATATTCACTCGATTTAAAATCCTAAAGATCCAACTTTGATATTCATATAAATATGTATTCATGTAAATTTACACGGTTTTATATTTTAAAAAAATCCTGCATCAATATTTTTTATGAAAAAATTTATAATATTCTATGATTATATCCTTCAGCATGCTTTTTCTTGCTTTCATTTATTTTTTCAATTATTTCAAAAGTGTTTTGCACATAAAATTTTTGGATTTCTATTTTCAACTTTTTTGGATTTTTACTGATTTCATCCCTAAATTCAATCAAAGTCCTTGTTGAACAAATAATATTTTAAGTAGAACTATTAAGGTTCACTTTTTTGCAGAACAGTTTAAGTTCAAGACCTGTTGTATGTTTAGCAATTTTTGCTTCATCATGAGGGCATTAATTAATTTATTAATGTAAACTGTTCATAAATTAGTTCTTTAAGGTTTTTTAAGTTTGCATTGTAAAATTATTCATCTTATAAAAAATTGTGATTTTAAATAATGAGAATTGTTTATTTATCTTTGATGTTCCCCTCTCAACATTTCTAGTCTCGAAACAGTTGTATTTCTGTTTTAGGGTTTCTCATTTAAAAAATTCTTTGTGGTCTGAAGTTTGAGCACAAGTTTGTTATTTTCATGCTATCTTTTGTTTATTTATATTTTATCTTTTGTTTATTATTTAATTTTATTTTAAATAAAATTGTTTGACAACTGGCTGTGCAGTGTAAAAACTGTTTTTGTTTTTAAGCAAATAATCAATTTGTAACAATTGATCAATTTGAAACAAATGATCAATTTTTAAACAAATAATCATCTTTGAGCTCTTACTATTAACCAATAGTTTATTACAGAGTAAATTAACATTAAAACAGTTAAATTTTTATAAATTCAAATTTGATGGCCATTTTATTAGTTATCTGGCTGTTGTTTAACTGCAAAGTATATTTTTGTTTTTAATAATAGTTTCAGAGAAATATTTGATAAACAAAAAAGATAATCATGACACCAATACCTCATTAACAAATTATAGTTAATGTTTTTAATAAGTGCAAATTTTTCTGTGCACTTTGTCAAAAATAAATAGCTTAGCATTTGTCTAATAAACTAAAATTTTTAATTTTTAGCTGATAATTTCAATATTTTTCAGGGGTGATTGTATTAAAAATAATTTAACAATATATGAAATTATTATCAAGATTTGGTCATAAATTATTCAACTTGGATGACAACTTTGGATCTTATTACAGATTTAATTATTATTGCATTTATATAACTTATTAAGTGATGTAAAGAAGCTATAAGCATGTTCATGGTATTAATTTCAATAATTGTTACTTTTAGATGCATGGGCCTGGCTCTTCAAAGAAAAGTATCAAATATGACCAAAGATTAACAGGATCCAATATGATTGATGATCCTTTACAAGAGGTTTCAGTGATTTCTTTTGTATTTTACACTTTTATACCTAATTATATTTGTCTCAGTGTTTTTAATTTTTATGTTTTAATAATAGGAAAACCTGCCTTCATGATGGGTTTAGCATTACAACTTGCTACATATGCAAATCTGTAAAAAATGCAGCATATGCATATTTGAAATTATAAAAAATCATTTTTCTTGCTGAAGACCTTTTCACCCCTTCCATAAAGCAAAATAAATTTTTATTTTACGTCCATTTTTTGCTTCATATTTCTTGAAGTGAATTGTTTGAAGGCATATGAATCTTAGTGCTCTTTTATTACAGATCTTTTTATGGAGATTCCACCAAAAAAAAAAACATTTGTTGATTAAGGAGTAAAGAAAGATTTTCTATAAGCTTTTTTTTTTAAAGTTGTATTGTACTTTTTTATAAACTATGTTTTCATTTGAAGTAATGAAGTCTCTATCTGTTACTCTAGGTTCTTAATTATGCTTTTCGAGATTATATTGCAACTTGGTATAGCCATATTTCTAAAGATGAAGATTTTCTTTTAAGTTTAAAGGATCTTGTCAGAAAAGTGATTGTGGCATTTTCTGGCCGGTATGTTTACTTAATTTGTTAAAATTTTAGTAATATTAGTTAATGTTATGTTCACAACATTAACAAATTTAACTGTTGAATTACTTTGAAGTATTAATTAGTTTTGGTAGCAAATATTGAAAAATATTAAGTTTATCTCCTAAATCATGTTAGTTAAATTTATTACTTTCTTTCCCATATAAAGTTACTTTGTTTATACATCATTACTTTTAAATTTTAGGTTTAAAGATGTTGAATGGGTTAATTATTTAACAACAAAGTTAGTTGATGATTTTACATCCCATCTTCATATCTTTCGTAGAGCACATTCTCGTTTAAAAGATTTTCAGAAGAAAGGTAAGCATTCAATTTGTGTTGCTTAAATAATATTTCCTTAATTGTTTTGTTAATAAATCAGTTTAAAAATAATTGCAGTGGTAAGTTGGCAAACAATATTTTTAAATCATAATATTTTTAAGTTATGTTGTTAGGCATGTCTCATTAAATTGTAGCCACCTTGTCTGTTTTCTATTACTGGACATCCCAGAAGCAGAATATTTTCAAATGTTCTGCAACAGGACTTATTAATTTATACAAATGTTCTGCAAGCATTTCACAGCAAAAAAAAGTCAATTTTACGTTAAAATACTATATTTTCATTTATAAAAATAAATAATCATACACAGATACACTACATTATTTTTTAAACCAAGGCAAACATTCTTGATTTGTTACCTTCTCAATCACTTTTGAAGTTAAAAATTCTGTTAATGACGATGATGATGATGAAGTATTAATAAAATACCTATGATATGAAGGTCCAAACATTAAAATAAAAATCTTTCGCAGGGACAAGTGCCCAGATGGTGCACCACTTGCAAACATGAACCTTCGCCGGTCTGTTGTTAAAACAACTTCTTCATCTCCATCGAAAGCATTTGATCTTTTAGAAACAATTCTGTCAATCGTAGATCCCTACGATTCACAAATTGCTTCTGGAATGGGAATAGAAAATATAAAAAGTCATAAACTTTATGAAATTTGAAATCTCTGAATTTAATACTTTTACGACTTGCTTTAGAAGCTCTCTTGATAAAAATGGTTACAGAAGTATTAAAGATACAAATTGTTCTGCAGGACTTCATTTGTTCTGCGACGTACGTCACAGTTGTAGGCACTTTCTGCTTCTGGGCTGGACATAAATGTATATATTAACTTTAATGGCTATATTTCATCCGGATAGTTGCACCCTTTTTGACTTATTATTTGGAGCAGGAAGTGAGTTAATGTAAATATGCATATTTTAAAACACTTTCATAACATGTATGTTTATTTGTCATTGGTTTTCTTTATTTCACTTACAACATAAAATTATGGTGGCTTTATTTGGACATTTATTAAATTAAAGATGTTTTTTAATGTAGATAATATTTTTCAGATCCAGCAACAAATATGAATCTACTGTCTTTGTTTTTTAAACTTGAAGGTTCCTCTGAAGATAATCTAAGTCATAGTTTAGTTTGTACTTCTAAAAAACATGAACAAGGTATGTCAAGAGTTTGTTTGTTATATTATTTTTAAGTATTCTTATGATTTGAAATAGATAATATCTATTAAAAAAGTGTGCAGTGTATGTAAATGCAGTTTTTTATTTTATTTTGTGAAATTTATTATTTTTCTTTTTAAAATCTATATCTCCAATTAAGGTTTCAATTTAAAAATTTTGTATGACATTTTGTTGCTCTATTAAATACGAAATATGTAATGACATATTGAATATTTTTCTACTCAATATCATTTGATTGTCTTTGAATTCATTAAATTATGTTCAAAATTTTCTGTTATGAAAAAATGAAGCTGCATAAAAAGCGTATCGTGGAATAATAATTTTAAGAATTTCAAATTTGTTTAAATTTATAAAATTTTTAGTTTGAAAATTTTTATGATATTAAGCTTCAGTCTTCATTATGTTATGAATTTTATTAGATAAACTCATTGAGTTCTGCAATTAAAATTATTTATTTTATGAAATTTGTAAGTAGTGCACTGCTTATAATCAATTATAAATTAATGTAAATTCATTGAATTCTTCATTTTGAAATATACACCTAGCTTAATAATGCTGCATTTTGTTGCTTTTAATTTTAAACACTGCATTTGGAATAAAAGAATTGTTGATCAATAATCTTGACCTTTTAAATTCTTTAAACTAAAAATCTGAAATGTTTTTGCTTAATGTTCAAATCTAATTACATGCTTTCATAGTTCGATTTTTTTTATTTTATTTTCTTTCCACATTTTTGTGAAATATATATATCTTTTTTTTAATTGCTTTTGTATTTCTAATAGTTATGCAATTAATTACTTTTAATTATTTTCATTTAATTTGATTTTCTACTCAAAAATTAAATTTAAAAAATTGATGTGTTAAATATATAGTTTCAACTTTAAAATAAGAAATGTGTTTTATCAGACATGTTTTATTGAAAGTTTAATTTAAAATTAATCCGTTTTAGAAAATGCTTAACTTTTGAACCTTCAAAAGTAAGTTAATAAAGCATTTTTTTTTAAAAATAAATAAATAAATTTTCAACGGAAAAAAATGCTTATTATTGAAAAATTCATGAAAAAAAAAAGACAGCCAGAGGAATAAATAGATTTTTCAAAAAAAAAAAAAAGAAAGAGAGAGGGAGTAAAATTAACATGTAATATTAAAGACATTCAAATATTAGCACACATTGATATATAAAGAAATATATTTTTACAATGAATATTTTTGTTTAATCTCAAGTTATGAAGTGTTTTTGTGTTTTATGTCAATACTTTGGTATATTCTGTTTCTTAAGGCTATAAATCAGCATTAATAGAATTGATTTTTCTTTCTTTTAAAGTCAAATGAAAATAATTTTATTGCTTTTAAGCAAAGAATGTTATTAGAAATAGTTTATTTTGACTATAGTTGTTTTTATATCATTCTTTTAGAATATTTGGAGGAATTATGTGAAGTCATTATGTACATTATTTTACCATTTGAAGATTTCCAAAATTTAGTTTCTAGGCTTATCTTAAGGGTAATTATAGAAACTTTATTCCTTTTTTTTAATTTTGTTTTAGTTTCTAAATTCTTAGCTTTAAAAATTGTTTTATTTTTCAGGAAATTATTGTCAATGCAGCAGTTTTACCTATTATTGATCTCGTATCTGACCCAGATTATATTAATCAAATTATTGTTTGGATGGTGTGTATAATGTTTTTATGAATAATATTTTCATTGGTAATATTTTTATTATCATGTTTTGAATATCTAAGTTTTACAGAAGTTAAGTGAAATGGTTTATCTCATTTTTTGTTAATAAATAACTTTTTTTAGTACTACATAATTGTAAGCTGGCTGAAGGCAAGGTATTCTTTCAAGCCCTCAAAGTTGAATAGTATTATCTATCATATTAAATAATTTAATTTTGAAATTGAATTGAATTTAATTTAATTTAGAAATTGAAAACATGTCAATAATAAAAATATTAAAATAATTGTGGTAATAATTAAAATGACAAAGGTTTATTAATTTTTATGATGAATGGATAGAATTACTTTTTTTTGTTTAGGTGCTAATTTTTTTATTAGGAAATACTTGATTTGCTTGGTAGTGGCAATCATATTCTTTATTGACTTAATTTTTATTTTATTGACTTTATTTGTAACTCCCATTGATGAGGATGATACTTATTAAAGGGGTTTGTATCCATTTTTGATGCTTTATATGTTTTTTAATTTAATCTAGTTTTATTGTGTAGAATTTTTTTTAAAAATAGTATAACTGATGAAATTTCTTATGGTTTTAAGAGGTTAGTCATTCTTTTTGGAATTACTATTTTGGGTACATTAATTAATATGCAGCAATTCTGATAAAGTGTTTCGCTGAATTTTTTGTTGTTATAAATATAGAAATTGACAAATATCATCGATGTTGATACCCAACTCATGAAAGTGCTGTGTGCATGGAAAGTGCTGTGTGCATCAAAATGTATCACAATTATCATTAATTGTGATACATTTTGATTACTAATTGTTTGGAAATTATGTTAAAGCATTTATTTATTTTTTTGTCATCACTACTCAAATATTTCTACAATAACTAAATATTTTTGAAGTTTGTGCTTGACTTGCGTGGATCCCATCATGAATTTATATGTAATTACTCTTACCCCCCTCCCCTGCTCTTTTTCCGCAACTATGCTCTTGATTAAAATTGTCTACATAATTTTAGTTGATACCCAACTCAATCATAACCAATCATATCTTTCAATTCTCAACCACATTTGTTCGATTTTGCATCGATTTGATATAGTTTTCGGTCACCATTCCATAGTTATCGCTACGAATTTCCACATGATTTTATGTGTCCTATATTTTTTACAGGCTATTATTAAAAAATGCCAAAAGAGAGATTTAAAGAAAACATAGCAATGCAAAGATATGAGAGAAATAAAAAGAAATATAATAATTAAAACTCGTTTCTCAGGTTGATTTTTTGATTGATTAAAATGTAACAAATATAACATTCAAAAGCTGAAAACTTATGAGAAACATGGCAATAAAATTTTGTGCTGCTGAGTCCTGTACATGAAAATATTTTATGTATATTTAAAATCTAGTATGAGAAGCTCAAAAAATTTATTTTTAGTGCAAAGAAACAACTTTTACCACTGATGGATTTCTACTTGTTATTAGATGTACTGATAACATTGCAGAATTGCAAGCAGTTCAAGAAATGGTGAACCATGAAATAGCTGTTTTAAGATCCAGAGACTCTGGTGGAAATGATGGTAAAATCTTATTTATCATAATTGGACTGATTTTTTATTGTGCTTTACTTGGCTTATTGTTATTATGTTTTATTGGCTTATTCAAAAGAATTCATACAATTTATTTTACTGGTGACAGAAAATCTGAAATTTTTGTTGTTGCTCATTCTTGTTTTTCTTAGAAGTGTCAGCTCTAAACCACTGAGTATTGCAAACTGTTTGCTGTTTCTCTACTCCCACATTATTTCTTCTGTGTTCAACACCTTAGTTTACATAGCATTTAGTATTTGTTCTTATCTTGAGCTGAACTATGAAATTAATTACATTAAAGCTATTGCCTAAGATAGCATTTTTTATTTTTAATTTCTAAATAGACTTTTTTACTAATTAAAAAGAAAAAAACTGTAGGAAAGCTTTTTAATCCACATTTTACAATAGTTTAAAAATCGAGATTTGCTGCAAAACCAGGTTAGCTTTAAAGTTGGCTATCTGATTAATGGTGTTTTTGGTCTGGTTTCCAATATAGGCTTATAACAGTTGATAAATTGTGACTAAATGCTTAGCGTTCCTGTGTTTTAGCTTGTGACTGTGCACATAAGTTTCTAATTGAGTTTCATGTTTTTCTCTACTATTAGTTTCATGTTTTTCTCTACTACTGTAGAAGCAGTGTCTCCTAATAAATCAAAATAAAAAGGAAAAGTGATATGGTATGTCATGGTGAAAAAAAAAGCCAAAATTCTTTTCTGAGTATGTGAGATATGAATTGGAAAGTTGACTAAAGATTAAGAAAATTATAATGAACCGCAAGCTTGTGGCAATTTCTCTGGGTATTGCAACTAAAATTATCAAAACTTAATGATATAAGATTTCAGGTTGAATTGGGATACTGCCATGGGTTAATATTTTCAAAAACTTTTTTGCAAGGACTTCAAAAGACAAAGAAAGAAACAATGAGGTTGAAGTCTTAGAATAAGGTGACTTTTAGGATAAACCATTATCTTCACAAAAATATATATGATTTTTAATTTTTTTTAAAGTCATAAAAATTCAATAATTTTTAAATCTCATATATCAATATTTATCAATATTAATCTCATATATCTTTTATCTTGAAGTTCTGATCAATATATGTGTGACTAATATCGTTCAATTTTAATAAGATTTCAGTTTTTATTAAATTAAATTTAATTAAAATAAACATTTGTCTATTTGCAGTCTTAAAAGCTCATATTTGAGCATTAAATTTAGCCAAATTTAAGTTTTGGCTATAAGCAAAAGTAGCTAACTCCAGGAAAAAAACAACTTTTTAACTCCCATCTTTCACATGCCTCTACCACCTAATATGGTGTTTTAAAACACACTGTCCTAATCCGTCAAAAACCTGAGTTTTGTTACCTATTTCAGAATGTATTTTTTATAAATGATCTGTTATACAACTAAAAACAATTTTTTCCTATTATTAATTTTAAGTTGATTTGTTTCTATATTTGTCAGTCTTAATTTAAATTGCTTGTGTGACTTTACTTTACCTATTAACAAAACATGCACAATCACTCTATCAGTTCTAAATGAACAAAACAATTACAAAATTAAAGTGAAGAAAATAATAAAACAAAATTTTTAAAAACTATGTTCTTCAAATGAACTAGAAAGAAGATTGTAATTTTGTTTTAGTTTAACAGAAATTGAAAATGTAGGTTACATAAAGAGCAATTTTGTTGGTAATAAAAGTTTAGTATAAAAGTAATATGCTGTATGATTTCACTTTAAATCTGACAAAAACTGAATTGTTTTCTCTTTTCTAGTTCCAATCAAAAACATAGTTTTTTTAAAATCAATTTTGTTTTATTATATAATATATGAACACTTAATAGTAATACATTTTCATCTGCAAGTTCTGTTTTTTATTTTGCATTTCACTTAAAATTTTCATTTTGAAGATTTAAACTATCTATGTTAAAAATTTGTTCGTTTGCTTAAATTCTATCTGTTAGAAAATTTTAAGTTTAAAAATGTCTGTCTAAAAATATTTTTTTGGAAATGCTGAAAATATTTAATTTTCTTATACCTAAGTATATTATTAAACATTACTATTTGTTATCTTTTTATTGTTTGCTTATTTAGGAATTTTGTGAAAAAAATTTAAACTAAAATTTTGGTATGGACATTTTAGATACTGAAATAAAGCAACAGTTGAGTAGTTTGTCTTATGTTCGTAAAGTTGTCGAAACACAAATGCGAAGACTCAGTGATGGGAGTGTCGATACTGATTCAACTGGAATGCCTACAGTAAGAAATTAATATATTTGCGAGTTACTATGTTATCTTTAAGCTAGTAAGTCAATCATTTGCTTTCTTGTCCTTCGTTAAATTTTATATTTTCTTTTTTATACTATACCATATTACAGAATTACCTATACTTGAGAAACAAAAAGTGCTTGTTTCATGGGCTCCATCATTAAATCCAAATTCATAGTTAACACCAAAACTAAACATAAAAACTCACAAAAAATGCTTTTATATTCTTTATTTTAATCTTATTTTTTAATTTCAACTTTTTCTATTAGGGATAAAAAAATTTTTATCAAGGTTTTAAGTGGCTGAATGAAAGACAGTTTCTACAAATTGTTATTTCCAGAAAAGAGTGCTTTTTACATGTGATTGAAACTGGATATGCTTCTATAACTGTACTCATTTCTGATGATATTCATGCCTTCTAAAAATTTACTTATTTTCTGGAAACGAGAAAATTTTCAGTCTGGCTGGCATTTCACATTTCTTTGAAAGTCACAATTGCTGTTAATAATTTCGAAAAAATCTTCCATTGTTTCGAAATGACACCAAAACATATTTTAGAATAATTAAGTTCTAAAATACCTTTAATAGTTTTAAACAATCAATCATGTACAATGCTTTTTCTTTATAATTTTTCATTATTTCTGATATTATTTCATGCTTTTCAAACTAATTCTCTTGCCTGTTAAATCCAAAAAAACTGGAAAAAATTATTTTCTGAAAGAGTATGTTCTGCATTTATAATGTATCAAGCGTAGCAGTCTATTTCACTCTTAAAATCAGGAATCTCATTAAATGTAGGCTTGTTATAAATACGTTCTACTGTATAAAAATTCTTATTTGTTTCTGTGCTATTTTCTTTAACAATCAATTTAGGAAACAACTCGGGAAAAGTATCTATTGAATTATTTAAATAGATGTGTAAATTATCTTTTTAGGGCATTGATTGGAAGGTTTTGACAGAGCCGGGTGTGAAGCTTTTCCCTCTACATTTTGATGTTGTTCTGACTAATAATATAGCCCTTCATTATTTTACTGGTCAGTGGTTATAATTTTTTTCCATTTAAAGAAGCTAAAACTTGTGATCTGTTATGTGAGAAAAAATATTTAACTATTAAGTTTCATATAACTCTTTAATTATTTTTTGGTTCTTTTTGAAATCCATAGGCTGAGCGCTAGCTGCTTTTGCTTTCCTCAATGAAATAGATGTTCCACAAAAACAAATCGATAATTTGTAAGCTACAAATCGTTTGTGGTGGCCCCCTTTACATGGTGGACGCTAGAGGACCACTCGTCTGGTCAGCAGAAGGGGAGATAAGGAGTGATAGATTTATGAGGAATTGGAATGTAGAACCCCTTATCTTATCAATTTGTTTTTGTGGGAAGTCTATTTCACTGAGGAAAGCAAAAGCAGCTAGCATTCAGACTTACTGGTTAGCCTTTGTGCTAGATCCATTCCATGAGAATGTAATTAGCAAATAATTTAAAAACACGAAACCCAACTCTCACATTTTTGATCTACGTTTGTTCCATGTATTTAATTTTATTGTTAGTATAAATAACTGTGCCATCTTTTACTTTAACTCGTGCGCTCGAATTAATTTGAGCACGCTAAACAGGCCAAACTGTGCAGACTCGAGACAATTCGAGCGGCATTGTATTTTATGCTGCCATAATTTTTCCCACTAGAATATAATCGAGAATTGAAAATAACAATGTGAAAGCTAAGAAAAAAATCGTTTTATTGATATTTATCATTTACATAAGATTGTAAGCTATAACACTTATTTATTCAAGAATAAAATAAAGCCTTTTTCCATGGAACAAAAGCGCAGTATTTCAAAATTGTTCACCAAAAGAATAGTTGAGCCAGGACAATGTTTCAAAGTGTGTTGTTTTACATTAAAAAAATAGATTTTTTTGGCAGTTTTTTTTTCTTTGAAAAATCTGTACATTAAGGGGTTAAACAGGCACTCTTTTCAGTGCAGAATCTGCTAACATTTTTTATTTGTTTTTACATTTATGATGAACTGCTTCTGATCAAACGTTATCTAGAGATGGGGAAAAGGAAAAGGCTTCACATTCAAAGTCATAATCAAGCATTCAAACTCATTCTAGTCATAAATTATTATTATTTTTTTTAAAAAATTGTGTTATTTCTTTGAATATATATATAGATGCATTATTTTAAAACTAAGGAGTTTTTTTTTTCATAACTTAAAAGCTACATGGAAGCACCATGTCTGTGTTTATTCTTTATTTTTGCATTTATATTTTTTAAAAAAAATTAATTCAAAGGAATATAAGTGCTCTTGTTGTCCATATCAATCCAATTTAATTTATTTCAACATAAATTTTTCCTTTTAATTAATGTTATTTTTTGTTAATATTTATATCTCTTTCAGATTTTATGAGTGCTTTGTCAGCACAAGGTTATATTTTCTTCTATCATTCTGTTGAGGTAAGTTGAAATATTGTGTAAATGAATAAAAGACTTTCTCCTCATGTATTGTAACATTTTTATTTATTTTTTTTATTTTTTGGTTTAGCATTTTAAATGAATTCTCAATTTATTTTTTAAATTTTTATTTTTTTGTTGAAATTTTATATTCCCCCCTCATTTTTAGCAGTACTCATTTAGATTATTTGTTCATTTGTGTGTTTTTTAGAATTGTTAAATTAGTTTTATTAGGTTAGGTTCAGAAGATTTTTTAAAATACCTTAAGTAAGCTGAATTATCCCTAAAATAATGTCATCAAGTTATCCTTTCGAGAAAAATCCGGATGGTTTACTGGTTTACCACCTGAAGTTGAGAGTTACCCTAATCAAGTTACCTTAAAGTAACCAATTTAATAAGTTGAGGATTTTATCTCAGCCGTTATCTAAAACTTCTTGTATGTTCAGTACACTTTCATACTTTATATCGCAAAGGTTTCCTATTTTCTGATAAAATTAGAGAAAGTCTTATTTACTATTCGGGTTAAGTTTGATGGAAAAGGGGTAATTTGGATTTTATTTTCACTTGCAAAAGATTTATTATAGTTCTATACTTTCATATTTTACATAGTTTGATACTTTCATATTTTACATAGTTCTATAATTCAGGTGTAAAAATTTTTTAAAAGTGCATTTTTTATCAGTTGCATCACATGAGTCACTCATTTTCTGATAAGAAGACTGCTTATCTTAATCATTCTTATGAGAAGGCGAATGTAATGGCATCTTTTTTAAAAGCAGCTGCATTTTGTGTTTTTAACACTTTCAGAAAAAGGATCCCTATATTTTATCATATTCATCTATATTTCATCAGTTAAATCCATTAAAATTTTCATGTAAATATTTAGGATTTGAAAGATTTAGAAAACAAAGATTTAAGTAATTTGATTGCATAATACTTTCTTCAATATATTTGTGATAAAATTTGTGGTTGTTCATCAAACATGCAAAAGAATACTATAAGAGTGTGAGAATCTTTATATTAATGTACTTAATGTGTAACATACTTGATTGGAAATTTTAAAATTCATATTATTCAAATATTCAAATATGATTCTTTTAATGAACGGTAACATGATCAGAATCTCAAATATAATTTTATTATGTTTTCAACTACATGGCTTATCAGTATGTTATCTACAATAAATCTATTTTCCATTCCTCTTTTTCATGAATTTTTCAGACTTTAAAAATCAGAAATTGGCCTTTTTTATCAAAGTGAAATGCTAATGTGAAATGATATCCATCTTTTATAATTGACCTTTTTTATCAAAGCGAAATGCTAATGTGAGATGATATCCATCTTTTATAATTAGATAAAGTGTATTTTAATTTTTTAAGACCTATAAACTTATTTGGAAAAAATATGCACTGTAATTGTCCATTTTTTTTTTCATAGTTGAAATCATATAGAAGTTAAAATTTGTATAATATTTCTTTCTTCAGAGTTATAAAGTTTCTGCTGAACAAATGCTATCTCAAAGTAAAATCAATGAGAATACCCAATCACCAACTCCCCCAGACATGGAATGTTTGAGAGAAGCTGCTGTTCATATTTTTGATTTATATTTATCTGAAAAAGTAAGTTAAATGAATATCCAAATTATGTAATTAATTTATTGTTAATTGTTCTAATTTCATGTGTTAAAATTTAATTTTGTCTATCTTAGATGGTTTTTAAAACTCTTGTTATAATTTACCCAGATATTTTTAATAATAAGATTAAATTATTTAAAGTGTAAGCTATAGTTATCCAAGCCAATCAGCTAAATCCTTTCACTTTAACTATAAAGATTGAAATATAAAATATGTTATTGGGCTTATCACCTATGTTTATTGCTATTTCTAACTTAGATCTGTTTAATGATAATATTGTTTAATATACAGGCAACTCTTAGAGTTAGACTAGATGAATCTCTTTTAAAGAAGTTACTATGTCGAATACGCACAGAAACACCTAGTAGCACCTGGTTTGATGAAGCTCAGTGGAAAGTAAGTTTATTGACTACATGTCATGAATTTTGTTTCATAAATAAATATTTTGGCATATTGCTATTTTTTTTCATTGCTCATGCCTTAGAGATGGGTAAATGCAAATATTTTTTTCTTAGTTGTTGCATATTGAAACTGATACAACTGAATATTAAGTTATAAAAAGCTGATACTTCTTGTACCATATGCTTATAAATACTAATTTATATTTTATCTAATGGAGGGGAAAATAAATTATGAATTGAATATTCCATTGTTTCTATTAAAAAGTAATTTTAATTTTTTTTATTTTTTTAAAATACAAGATTGAAAATAATTTTGTCCCAAAAGTTTAATGGCACTTGCTCTAAATCAAATTTGTTAAAATAAATAAGTAAGCATTTTCAAGTATAATGAAAAATTTTAATTGTGAAAGCTATAAAAAATTCATGTATTATTTATGACAAAATGATGAACTGAATGTGATACCAAACAAATTTTTTTCATATCTATTTTATGGTAACTAGCTGTTAAAAGAATATCATTCCTTCAGCTTGTGAGAAAATATTCTGAGAATGAAATTAAATTTTGTTATCCTAAATTGCTTTTAAAAATCATTTAATCAACAGTAAAAAAAAGTTTTTTTTTGTTCTTAATTTAAAGAAGGAAATGTAAATGGTTTGTAACTCTTTATCAAATGTATTTTTTTTTAAAAAATCCTTCGTATAATGAAAGCTTCTAAAATATTTATAATAATTGACCTTTCAATTACTGCTTGTGGAACCTTTTATTTCAATTTTGCTTGTTGAACAAAACAATTATTAAAATATGATACACTAATTTAATATATCATAAAAATGTAATAATATAATGTAAGAAACTCAATATAAATGTCTGTAAGGAAGGGAAATTGTTGTGTCAATCTTCAAACATTAGATCCTTTGCATTAGTTCAAAAAGTGATATGATTTGGAATCAATTTTAACTGCATTAGTAGATAGCTGTGAGTTCATTGAACTTATACCAAAGTGTAACCATTTCTTCTTTGAGTTAGTACCTTCTAACTGATATGAGTGGACTAGCTACTCAGTGGAACTGATATTGAAATCAGTTCCACTGATCATTCACATTAGAATAGTATACAAATATTATGATAAATTATACAAATAAATGTGGTTTTCTGGTTACAAGATTTTAAATTTAAAATTTGTTACCATCTAGAAGTAAAATTTAAACGATATTTTTATAAGATTTTTAGCAGATAATTTGAAGAATAAATTTAAAGGAGAGGGAAAGTTATAGGGGATTTTAACGATTCTATTCTACGATACAACGAAGATAATTCCTTTAAATATTTTGAAGGTTTTACACTTCTTTATGTTTTGACGATAAATTGGTACAAAGTGTACTGAATTTTATGATGTAGCTTTCATTCAAAATATATGGTTAAGTACAATATATCAAATGAACAGACTCATCTCTACCCTGTTTTTATTTACTTCTTATCATTACAGTTTTTTTTTCTTTCCAAAAAAGATGTGTGATTTGTTAAAGCTTATACTTTGTATCAATTGTAACTTTTTACATAAACAAGAAAAAAGTGTATTTTTTTAAAAAGTCTGAGTCACAATATGTAATTGTATATCAGTTTGTCTTAAAATGTTTTTTTTAATTGTATTATTAGGTTTATGAAATAATGCAAGATGAGCAATATTTTCCTGCATTTAAAAACAGTCAAAGTTATATTAAGTTGCTTGCAGAATTGGATCTGTTAAAAGAAGGGAACATTAAAACTGAAGAAGATAGTAAGTTTTCTATTTTATCATTGAAAATCGCCGGTCGAATTGAAATGCATTTTTAAACATATTAATACTCAATCGTGACTGTAGAATGTTGTTGTTTGCCGCTTATTCGCAATTTGTTGAATACTTTGTTTGATAATCATTTCTATTACACCTAAATCTCTTTATCTGATTCTAAACTTTTAAAATACACTAGCTTTTTTGTGCTATGTTTTTGTTTCCTATGTTCTTAGTACTTGTTTATGATCGTGTTAGTACTATGTTCTAATGTCCTATGTACAACTAGTTTTTAAATCTTCAGAACTCCTCAAACTTTCAAACAAGATTTTATGCCAAAGTAAATAAATGACTTACTAGCTAAATTTTCAACAAAGTAATTGTGATTTAATACAACTATAAGAATCAGAGTAATTGTGGTTGCATGTAATCCAGCAATCTATTCTTGCATTTAAATTAAATTATTTTGCTCTGTGCAAGTATGTGAATTTAGTTCAGGCTTCCTTTTCATTTAAATTGAGGACAATTTTAAAATATTAATTTAGACTCTTCTCAAAGTCATAGGACTGAAAATTGATAGGACTGAAAAATATTGACTCTTAATGGTCTTATTGTAGCTTTCAGCCACAAATTTTTGTTTGAAATAATCTGGATATTACTGCAAAGGGTTAAGTGAATGTTATATTTTTTAGTTGTTATTATAGTATGCTAATGTAAATTATATTTTTTATTAGTTTTTTTTCTCAGTTCCATCTCATCTATTGAAAATATTTGATAATCTTAGTAATTTTTTATTGAAACTTTTTTAGTTATTATTTTAAATGTATTTTTCATGATTTCATTGTTGTTTTCAGATATTTTCCTGAGTCCTAAATTGGCAAGCAAAGATGTAAGTGAAAAATGATAATATTTTTAATAACAGTTGAACCTCGATCAATCGTTCCTCAATGGACTATTTAATGAGAAAAGGACCAATATGAATCAGCATAAAATATCATATAATGTCCAGAAAACATATGGAAGTTAATAAAATTGAAATTGGCTTGACAATTAGTAACTTTGCAATAAATATAAAAATTTTAATTAAGAAAAGATATGTACTTATTGTAAAAATAATTATGAAGCAAAAGAAGGGTGAATACACACATTTATGTAGTTCGAACACACTCTTGTCTTTTCAGAGCAAACAAATAAATTTTCACCGTAAGTGACAGAGTGCTCTTCATTTTCTGTAACTTCACGTGAATACAGAGAGTTTCTCATTATTTTAAAGCCTACGAGGCTTTCCGCAAATGTCGGTGCTAGTTGTTCTGTTTCTTTGTCTTCATTGGTATCACTTTGTGTTTCTTCAGCTATTGCAACAATTTCTTGAACTGACAACAGCAAATATTTTAAACATTTTCATCAACTGAATCAGAAACATCAAACTTGATTAAGGTTTTTCATCCAACCAGCAATGAATCCTCCTGTATTTCTTCATCATTAGTGGGAGTTAGTATTTTTCTTTTCAAAACAAAATTACCTCAATATTTTTTTAAAAAATGTTAGAAGAATTTCTAAACGATATACGGAAGAATAACTAATTCCAAAAGGAATAGAAATGGATATTAATGTTGTAAGAATAACATTTGTGACAGGAGCGTTAAATCAAGACAAAGCATAGAGAAAACAAGAGATGCAGAAATGATTGATCGAGGTTCGACTGTATTTCCTGCAGAACTTTTATAAGAACTCTAAAAGGCACTTTGTAAAATAGTCGCTGTTCTGTTTTCTGTTTATGTTTGTTGCACTGAACCTTTACAAATTTCACTCAAAAAGAACAATTCTATGATTAAAATAACTTGGAAAAACTACTATTTTTAGATATAATAAATGACGTTTCAAAGAAAAAATAATACCGTAATTTCGTGAAAATACCCCACAGCGTTATTGAGTTAAAATTGGAAAATTTAGTTGGAAGACTTATCTAATCGGGTGGTGTACATAGAGTACCTCTTTTTCTACTTTAGAAAATTTACTCTTTAGAAGTCGGGTTGGAAATTTCATCATAATTTTTCCACCTATAACTAGTGCCTTTTATTTATTTTTTCATGCTTAATGTTACTTCAAAGAATGGTCAATTCACCTGGAATTGTCCCCTCCCCCACTACTGCTGGCATCCTTTCTTGGAATCACTTTCTGGGGACCACTATCCTCAAGAGAACAAAGTCTCTCTTTCCCTTCAGCTGTACAAACAGCTGTTGAGTATAGGGAACAGGCGTGAAGTGAAGAAGCACAAGACCTGACTGTCAACTGGGTTTTCAAGCAAGAAGTGAGGCCGTTGTGGAAGAACTGAATGGAGGGCATCATCCACTCCTACACATGCGACAGACAATTTATGAGGAGGTCGCCGCACGGGTGTTCCAAGTTTGGAAGGCTGTTAAAAAAAACTGTGATAAATGGCTTCAAAGATGCGAAAGTTATCCCTTGGATAAAACAAAACTGAAGGTGATACTGAAAGTGTGAGTGACTGGGATGAACCTAAAATAAACAATGAACTAATAAACCTAGTTAGCTCTGATACAGAGAGTTCTGATTTTGAAGGTTCTTAAGTGCAGTGATTTGTATATATAGTGATATGTGATATTTAAATAGATTAATTTTTAGTTTTTCTTTAAACAAAATTTGTTTGGATTTATCGTTTATGACTTAAACAAGATTTTGGATTGCTGATTTAAAAGTAACATTGTTTCATTTTTATTTTTAACAATTTTAATACTTATTTTAATGGTTACTTCAACTTAAACTTAGGAAGTACTTAATTTTACTTAGAAAGTTATTGAAATACATTTTATACACTATGACTGCTTCTATTTTTTGTGTATTCAATATTCTTTCATTGGTTTTTATTTAACTATTTAAATTATACATAAATGCATGCATATTTAGAACACGTGTTAAGTCTGTCATGAATACCTGCGTTAGTATAGTAAAATTCGGCACGGTGTATCCAGTGAAAAGCTTTCTTTTTTATCCGATATTTGAGGGCGTCGCATATATACTAGAGCGGTGTTTCTCTGTGAAATTATGGTATTATTTTTCGTTTTTAAATTTGTATTAAGAGAAAAAACACTAAGTTGATGTTCACATTTGTATTATTTTAAATTAGTTTAGTGAATCACCAAAATAAATATTCATGAACAACAGTAGCAGCATTCTATCATATTTTTGTGGCTTTTTATTTTTCTCAGGCTAAAGTTTAAAATTTTGATTTTTTCCCCTTTCATTAAAGGAAACAGCTTGATTGAATAACTTATTTGTTGTATTAATGAAATTTTATATTGGTGGATGAAGTTCATGACTCTTTAATTAATTACTTATGTTATATAAAATAAACAATTGTACAGTGCCTTAAGGTGTAGGCATTCAAATTAATCTCAAATTAAAGTTATCTTTATTTCTAGGCAACTCAGAGGGGTTTGATAAATTCTTAGTAAAATTCCAGTTAAAGAATGATGGTCCTATTTGTAATTTTTATATCATCAAGTTTTGTAAAACATTTATTGGACTGAAATTTAGAATTATTAAAATGAAAAAAAACTAATAATTAATACTCTTTGGACTATTTTTCACAATGAGAGTTTTGTACGATGAATAAGTTACATTTTTATTGATATCCATTTTTTTAAACGTAGTTATTATATGTTTTGTTTATTTTCGATTTTCAGTAAATGACACTTATATGTTCTTAATAATTTTGCTTTTAGGTGTATGATTTCATTAAATGTGTGAATTTCTATTTCCAGAGCTCTGATGATATTTCTTTATCAGATAGCATTAGTCTTAATTCTTTAGAGCAAGAAGATTATGGTATTGATTATCCAGTCACAGATGCTTCTCAAAGTGTTGTTTCATCATTAGTCTTGTCAGATGAAATCAATACTGAAGATTGTGAAATATCAGCACAAATTTACAACACAGGTTTGTTTAAAACAGTTTTAATTTCTTTGCTTTAAGATAAGTACTTAACATTTTGTAACAAATTATGATATATTACAACTTAGTTTTAAAAATAAATTTATGTTATTTGAAAATATGTACTATTCATATTAAGTAGCTGAAATCGCATGTGGGAGTAAAATAAACAGTTAAGTATTTAGTCAAATATAAATTTTTGCTGCTTTTTCATGCTATTCTAATAATTTATTTTAATTCTATAAAGTATAAAAATATTTTTGCGTCGATATTTATTATTATTTTAATTTGTTATGGTGGTTATTATAAAATTGCTTGAATAGAGGAATTAATTTTTTTAAAGGAATATTTTCCCAACTTTTTTTCTTTTATTATATCTTTTGTATCACCATGTGCAAAGCTTTTTAAAACTGCCTTAAATTTGCCTCCAAAGGCTAGGATATCACTTTTACTGCCTTTCGTAGTGCCAGAATTTATATTTCTGATTTTATTTCGCAGTTTAACTTGATAAATATGAGTGAAAAAAATTAATCTACTAATCACTGGCGTGTATGAAGAAAAAAGTTGTATTTTATTAATCAAATGTTAAAATAAAATATATTGGCTTATTTTATATTGAAATAATATCTCTCTATTTGTGATTGAATTTGAAAATCTTTGTTTTTTGTCATAAAAATGATAGATAATTTAAATTTGTTTTGAGTAAGAATATTTTACCCTTAGTATCTAATTTTTCAAGTTTATTTCTTAATGTGTGAAAAATAACGCGGATGCATATGAAGGGATGTATGTTGAAAGTATGTTAGATTGCTGATTTATTTCTTGCATTTTTTTAAAGAACTCATTGAAATGTTTTATTTTTCAGGGATTGCATAAATTGAATAAAAATATGATGAGGCATTTTTTTTTCTTTTTATATTAATGTGGAAGTGTAATGTCTAACTAATAAATTTAAAATAAATTTTTCACCTTTGTTACATAATTTCTTGTAATTTTGACTAACATTCTCTTATTTATTAGAATATTTTTTCTCTTATAAATTTCAAGGATCGGGTATGGATTTTTTCTTATATAAATGTTGTATTTTTCTTTGTGAAAATTAATCAATTTTTAAAATTAATTCTTAAATACATATTGGGTAAAATAATAGCAAAAGAAATAGTAACTGTAAATAACATGTTAGTGTGTCTTGAATCTTTGGATAGAATCTTGTAAGATTTCTATATTTTTATTTTTTAAACATTTTTCTTCTTGTGATTTTAAGGAGTATGTATAGATAATCTGTTATACACCTGTTGTATTTTATGTTGCAAAAATCGATAACTTTTTAATTGATTATAAACATTTCTAATCTTGGCGTGAAGTTATTGCAATAAACTAATATGTAATAATTGCTAAGTATTTTTTGTGACGAAGTTTTAGAATCTTTGTAATAATATTTTTATTTCTTGTTTCATAGTATTAAATACATAAATTAGAGAACAGTTTTAGTTTGAAAAATCAATGTATTTTTTTTATTTGTTTTGTTTTATATGTTTATAATGCATGCCAAAACCAATGTATTTTGTTTTAATGTGCATCATTTTCTTTCTGTGCAATAATTTCTTTACTAATTTTCAGCCAATTTCATATTATATGATCCTCCATTCTCAATCTATTTTTAATTTATTTAAAAATGTTTATAAATTCTTCAGTATTTTAGATTTATTTATGCAGTATTTTGCATTTATTTTCAAACTGCAGAAAAATTTCTATCTTGCAAGTTTCAAAATGTGAAAAATCTAATAAAATTAAAATCTATTGATTGATTAATAGAGACTCTGATCAGGTGCTTGAAATTTGAATTTTTTATAGTTGCTTGCTAGTGTTTTATTTGCTAATAAATTTTTAGAAAAAGAGATATTTTGCCACTTTTACTGAGTTTGTTTTTTAATTTGCTCATTTGTTTAAAGGAAAGAGCAGCTTCTATGCAGCTTTTAGAATTTCAGAGCGCTAGATAGAGGAAAAAGTGTTAATGACAATTACATATCTGTTTTACTTTTGTTTTTAATTTATTTAGCTGTTTACAAAATGTATAAAAATTAACCAAAATTAAACTTTAATGCAAAAAAAATTAGTCGTATATCAATTTTCTCTTTAAAAGTTTATCAAACTTGGCATAATTAATTTGTTGATAAAGTTTAATGCTATTTATTTATATTTTGGGAGTATTTGTTTTAACTATGTATTGGAAGATTTTTAAAAATACCCTATTGTCAAATGATAGAAAGTGATTGATGTAATTACTTTTCAGTCATGTTATTTATTTTGCAATAATGTGATATTGCTTAGGTTTATGAAATGTTGTACAATTATTGCATTTACTAACCAATGGAATCAATAAAAGTTACAAGTTAATTGCTATATTTTCTGATCTAGAGTGTTCAAAAACACTTTTTTCATTTGTAACTAATTGCTAGTCTTCAAACCTTTGAAAGCTTTAAAATTTATTGATTAATGTGGGAAATTGTATGATATAAATGCCACTAAAGTTATGAAATAATCCTCTAATTATTTCTTGAGAAATTTAAAAAAAATTTGCCAGAAACCAAAAGTATTTTTTCTATTAATGCAGGGTAATTTAATTTACTACGAAATATCGAGTAACTGCAAAATAGTCGGATTTTGCAGTTACTTGATAATTTTAAAATCTATCAATCTTGGGATATATTGTTGTAGTATATTGTTTCCATATTATTCCATAGGTATCACAAATGAATCAGGTTCAACATTTGCTGTTTATGCTATAGCAGTATGTCGTAAAGATCCATCAGGCTCTGAAGATAAATGGAATGTTATCAGAAGATATAGTGATTTTCGGGATTTTCATTTTGCAATTATTCAGAAAGTAAGATGAATAATTTTATTTTATTTTGTATTGTTTTGATGTAGAATTCTTTTAAATTTGTTTACCTTTTTAGAAACTATAGTAATTTAATGTTCTGTTACGATAAGTTTATATTTAATTAAAGCTTATCAAGGTCAAGTTTTTAATAACTAACTTATATTTTGCTCAGTTGGCTGTTATAGTTTGAAAATATTTTGATATTTGTTTTAATTAATACTATTATAACTTTGAAACGATTTTTTTTATTTAAACATGAAGTTTGTAAACATGAATTGCCTAGTGTTAAAAGTTTGAAATTGAATTGAGAAAAGCATTCAAAATAATCATACTTCTTTAAAAGTGAATTGCTCCTCAGAGTGGCTATTTTTGTCTGTAGTTGTTAAAAACTGTGTCTCATGATAAACAGTTTTTTTTTTTTTGTAATTATCTCTAAATCTTTATTTACTTCATTATTTTTTTAATGAAAATAAAATTTTATTCAAATACATTGTTTATAATTTTGATTTAAAACATGCATAGTCTTGTTACTAATAAAAAAAATAGTTTGTTTTACGTTTTTTATGTATCTGAAAATTTTATTGTTGTGTAAAAAAAACAGATACTACTCAACTACAATCATATTAACAATTTATTTAATTTAAATTTCATACCATTAAAGCGTGAAAATTTTTGCTTATTAAAAATGGAAAGAAATTCTATCTCTCAATATGCTGCTGGTTTGTTAGCAAAATTATAAAACTGTATGCCTTTAAAACAATAAGGAAAATTTTTTTAGTGCAGGTTATGTATCATAAAATTATGAAAAAAAACTTTTGTGTGCATGTAAATATTTTTACAATCAATGTATTTTCTTTTTTTTTTTTATATAAAATTAGAGAAAAACATTGTCTGAGAAATTCCCTTATTTGTGATTTTTATGATATTGAAATAAGCATTATTTGCTGCAGAGTTTGCTTAATTGATTAAAAAATTTAACTGGTTGAGAGTCTGCAATAACAAGTCATTTACAGTCCATACTAACATTATTTATCATTATTCAATAATGTTTAGGAATATTTTGCAGCCTTTTTTCCGAATAGTATTTCATAAAATCTGTGGACAAATGGTAATAAATGCAGTAGAGATTTTCTAAGACTTTTATTGCAACTGTGAAATATTTTGTTCCCCATCATCTGTTATATATGGAGCAATTTAAAGTTTGTTGCTAGCTATTAACTAAATTTCTCGTTATTTTCGAATCACTGTGTAAGTTATTACAGATTTTCCCTCATTGTGATTGTTATGTATGCTTTAAAGTTTTTTTTTCGTTTATTGTTATAATTGCTCTTTTTTATTTTCAGTTTCCTCACCTTAGTCAGTTACAGTTCCCTGGTAAGAAGACTTTTAATAATTTGAGCCCCCAATTTTTAGAAAAACGCACAGGTCAGTTGTGTAATTATCTGCAGATTTTAACTAATCCTGACACTTTAGTAAACAGTCCCGGGTTGAAAACTGCATTATTGCAATTCCTGGAGCCTAAAGTGTATGAAAAAGGCAGAAAACCTTTAGCTAAAAAGGTGAGTTCTGTTATTTTGCATTTGTTTTCATTTTAATTTTTATTCTCTATGCTAAGTGTGATATGAAAGTTTAGGCACTTTTCATAAAAATTGGCTGAACCTTTGACTCAGAATTTATCTTAAACATGTTTCTCTACTTTTTTCAATATTTTGTATAAATTCAAGTCAAAATATTATATGTAGCATTTTAATAATTAATGTTTATGAAATACAGCTCAGTTTCAAAAAAGAATTTTTCAAATTTGTGCTTATTTAAAGCTATTCAGATCTATGAGAAACTATTATTCATCATTGAAAGTTGTTTTGTTAACAAAAAAAAAAAAAAAAAAAAAAAAAAAAAAAAAAAAAAAAAAAAAAAAAAAAAAAANATAATTGCAAATCATGCTTGAATATTATATCATTTTTTTAAACCTGCATATGTATGCTTAGGACAATAGAATTCAATGCGAATGGCCCTTAAAACCAAAACAAATAATATGGCTCCGGTGAATTATCTATAAATATTAATAAAATGTGAAAGAAAAAAAATTTAAATACACTTTAACAGACTTCCTAAATATGACTGGATCATTAAAATTGCAAAGAATAGAAATACAACTAGATTCGACTTTTATATACATTACACTCATAGCTAAATAAAAAAAATTTTTAAACCTAAATATATATATATATGTAACATAAAAAGCTTCAATTGATCTTTTTATGTTATTTCTTTTCTGTAAATCCTTTTCTTTATTTTATTATTCTAATCGAAACACTTTCTCACACTTCTAAATTCACATCCTGTCCTTTAATCTATTATTGGCTCAAGTATGCAATATTTAAAAGTAAGACATTTTTCCCTTTGCTCTTTGTGGGAATGATACGACCTATTTAATAAACCAATTACAATTACAAAGATTTCCCTTATTCCCTAATCTGAAACATTTTACGGATCTACTTTGCAAGATTTTCTCTAATTCATATCGAGGGGCACAACTTTTTCATGACCACTTTTATAGCTGTTATCTGTCTAATAATTAATAAATAAATTTTGTACTCTCCTTCTCTGCCCAAGTCCTGTTTTGATCCTTCCACTCGGCAACGACATTATATAGTAATATTACAGAAAAAATTAGAAAAATAATACCCTTAAGGAAAATATCTATTGTTATTTGCTTTGAACAATATTTGCATTTCTTTCATAAAAGATTATTTTTTTATTTTTCGGATTACAAGTATTTTGACTGAAAATATTGTTTTGCGTTATTGAGGTTTATTATTTATTATTATTATATATTTATGAAGGTTTATTATACGCTTAGTTTACTTAATGTTGTATGTTCACAATTGCAGTATATTCCTACTTTTACAGGTTGATGCACTTGTAAATCCATTGTCCTCTTCCATCAAATCTGTGGGTCATATGGTAAAGCAAGTTCCTGATTCTTTCATGGATGGCCTTAAGGATGGGATTGTAAAAGTGTTGGGAAATAGAGGATCATCGCCCGTTAATCAGCCAATACCAGAAATAAAGATCTCTACCACAATTGAAGAAGTACTCTAATTTATTTCATCATAGTTATGTGAAATGTTTTGAAAAAGTCTTATTTTAATAAAATCAATTATATATAACTAAATCATATACACTGTACAATGTTATTAATCTTGAAGCTCTTAGAGCAGTTTTATTCAGCATTAGTATGCAATAACATTTTAATTATGGTTTTGTTGTAACTTTAAGTTTTAGATAATTGAAAATAAAGATATTTAGATTATTTGAAATATAAGTAAAACACATAATTTTTTGTGAAACATTCTTGATATTTTTAATGTTATTTTATTATTTCTGTAAATTTATGTGCCATAAATATTTTCTAAAAACTACCTCTTAAGGCTCTTTTTTAAGGGCTCCATCACATGAAATGATTTTTTTTTGTTGTAAATAATATGCTATTTTCATAACTACTGTGTGATTTCAACAGTTACTCTTGGCAGTTAGATCAAATTTAGCCTATCTATAGCGAGTGCTGCTTGTGATTATTCTGAAAATGACCCGAAAAGTCAACATGGAGAAAAGCCACATTTTTGGGAAATTGAAAAGCATTTGTGACCAAATTTTTAACATTTAAAACTTACTCCAATGCTGCATTATCTGGGCTCATAAATTTTTCTAAAAACTGAGATAGGGCATTGATATTGATAATTTTCATCTGGGTGGAAAAATGTCACCCGATAGGCAATTTTTTAAGAAGTTTAATGACATTTAAAATACTTAAGTTATTTTTCCGTTCTAAAGCCTAGATGATTCTTCATGGCATGATTATATATATTGTTTAAAATTATACATTCACTACAAGTGTAAGACACTTAAATTGTAACTTTTTTATTTTCCTTTGCAAAACAGCTTTGAAAAACCATGCTAATAAGGTTACTATTTTTGTACAAAAATGATTTCTTTAAATGATTAATGATTAAATGATTTCTTTTAAAAAAGAAAGAATTATACTAATTGCATTAGATTATCATGATAACTCTCTAGTCTGGAAAGGAGTTAAAATTATGTGTATCCGATTTATTGTCTTATGTCTTTGTTTGACATTTATGTTATTAAATGTCTTTGTAAAATGACAATTTGCATTGAGCCTTTGAGTAAAATTTTCAGAAACTTCCTTACTACTCATTATTCTCCCATTTTGCAATATTATGGGGAAACCTGAGTTTCAGGAAAGCTAACTGTTGAAAGTTCCATAAAGATGGGAAAATTATCATAGGATTATTATATAAGTATTTACGTATAATTTTGCTATAATAACTAAACAACAAATAGATTCACTTTTATTTTGTTCACTTTTTTTTAATACAATTTTCCTTGCTTAAGTAATATTTTTCCATTGATTATTGTAGGAAAATCTAAGTGTTAGGAAAGATACCAGCTGAAAGTTTTGCAAAAAAGGACCTACTTTTTTTTTGTTTTTATTTGCTCACAAATGATCTTGATAAATGAGTTCTCTAGCATGGTTCCGATGGTGTGCCCTTTTAAACGTTTCGATCTGCAAGTTGTAAAGACTGCTCAATTGCCAAGTTTTTAAAAAATCCAACTTATATTTCACACGTAGCATCATGATTTTTTATTTGGTAACAATTGTTTCTGTAATTAAAATAATTTGTAAGAAAAACAACCTTACATAATTACAATTAGAACCCTATGTAATTATAGTTAAAACCCTAAATAATTATAATTGGAAATAATATCATTAGATTTTTTCACAAATTTATGAAACAAATTCACACTGCACCATTCAGGTTCTAAATTTTCTTATGCTTTTTTTTTTATATAAATTTTTATTCCTATGAAAAAGCTAATTTTTGAAATACAGTTGGTACAAAATTTCGAATAACTATCTGAGTATTAGTCTTTGTTTTTTCCAAATTTTCAGATTCTGATTTTCCTACATAAAAAAACTAGTTTTTTCCATGTTGTTCAGTGGGAAATAGTGTGAGAGAGAATTTCAGTACAATTTTTTCCATGGGCTCTACTTTTAGATTTTTATATTAATGTTCTCCTTTCTTTTATGTGTGCTTGTTAATTTTCTAGCTTTAGCATATATTTTTTTCTTCTAACAAAACTTATATGTTTATTTACTAGATTTATTCAATATTGCTTTGACTTTTAGGGGGAAGATAACATTCCACTTAGAATTTTAATTCTTCTAATGGATGAAGTGTTTGACCTAAAAAGCAAAGACCAATGGTTTCGAAAGCGAATTGTGATTCTTCTCCGTCAAATCATTAATGCAACATACGGTGATGCTATAAATAGGTAATTTTTTTATTTTTTAAGAAAACTTTTAAATGTATTATTAAAATAATCATTTGCAAGTTTATTAATATTGCATACCATTTATAGAATAAGCTTGGATTACGAGACTGAATTAAACAAAATTGGTCCTGAAAATACTTGTAATTCTTGCTGGAATGTAATAGCTAAAGCAAAATATTAAATACATTATTTCTGCCACAGTCAATGGGAACCATTTTAAATATTTTATGTGATCAGCAGTTCAATTCTTAAACAATTTTGCATTCTGTGTCAGTATGATACATTTTTTCCTGATTAATTGTATTGTGATCCATATATTTTCTTGTTTATTTTCAGTATAAAATCCAAATCATATATTTTTTGTGTCTATCATTGATTAATCATTTTTATCCTTATATTAAAATCATTAATTTTTATTAACATTAAAATGATGAATAGTTTTTAATCAAATTAATTAGTTTTGTTATGCCAGCATTTGTTATTCTTAATTAAATTATATTTTTTGCAGGAAAATAGTAGATTTTGTTCAAAAAAGTACATCTGCTGAGCAGATGGCAGAATACATTAAATCATTTAGGTAAATTATGACTATATTATTCATTTTAAAAGTTAAATTTTAATTCTTCATTCTTGATCTTTAAATATTAATCAATGTGTGAGTAATATCCTTAAACAATCATAAATTTTGTTGTTGTAGAGAAAATTTATGGCCTAGTGGAGCTCCTGCTGTACCCACACCTGAAAGAGAGTTAAAAACTAAGATGAGGACAAGAGTGGCAGCAAAGTTGTTAATGCTCTGTTCAATACCAGGTAAATAAGAATCATTTTTTAGTCATTTAGGTCATCCATCAAAAAAAAAATCACGTTTATCTTTTTTCTTCATGTAAAATTATGTATTATCAAAGTCAAGTGATTATTTTTTTTTAAGCTTTTAATTAGACATTTATTGATTCTTAATCCCATAAAGAAAGCTTAAACAAAGTTATCAGGGGTCTGTCTAGGCTTTTCTGAAAGGTCCCTATTTTGTGAAAATTTAGACTTAATTTTTGAAAAATAATAATTATATTAAAAAATCAACACAAAATATAGTAAAATTATGAATTTATCGTTTCTTATGGCATACAAAAATAAAAGTTTAAAAAAAAGTATTATGTGAAACTACTGTTTTCCCTAAAGTTGAATTTGTGAAGGTACCACTAAATGGTAGTAAATTTGGACTAGAGTGACCCCTGGTTATATTTAATAAAACTTGGGAATTCAAACTTTTAATACAAGGATGAAGATTTGCTTGAAAATTTGTTATGTATGTATGTTTTAATGTTATCGTTAAAGCTATATTTTCTTCTGGTCCAAAATCCTCTGCCTGCCACTAAAATCAGGTATCCAAATTGTATTGCCTGATAATTAAATTACAAGTTGCACTTAAGTCAGTTTTTATATGACAAAAAGCCACTTTATAGTTTTTATTTGCTTCATTATAATTATTCTAAAATATTGATTTATCAAAGCATTGCTCTTCTGAAGCAGGTGTTGGTCCTTAATATAACAGGTTATCAATCCTCCACTGCAGTTCATCGAATTATTCCAAATATACTTGAATCCAGGAATAATAAAACAATTATTCTTTTCCCATTTTTTAATTTGTTTGCCCTTACACAATACATCAAAATGGATTAAGTTATTAATATTGAAGTATAAAAATGTGCCAGAGTGTAAAGAATAAAAAGTGTTTGAGTTATATTGGACATCTGAATTTATCTGTCAAAAATATAAGACATGATATACAATTGGTGCCCGCTGACATAAAGGTTGATTGTCGTCCCAAATCTTCAATAATCACAGGTGCTATTATATCAGGACAATTTGTGTAATTTGAAATGTGATTGAAAGTGCTATTTATCTTTTTACTAAGAAAAATATAATTTTTTTTTTTTTAAAATTTTAAAAAAATAAAGTTTTTTGTAATTATTTATTTCTTTGAGAGACATAAAAAGTAAGCAATTTGTGTTATTTAACAAGAGGGATGCACAAAAGATAAGATAATTTTAATAAATTGAAAAAAAAAACTTGCATTATAATAAAACTTCAAAACAGAGGTGCTGACTCACGATGTCAAAAAATTTAAATCTTTTCAAATTTTAAAAATTTTTTCTCCTCGAGGAATATTTTCTATGTCCAAATGTAATTTATGAGTTTGCAGTTTATATACAATAAAAAGTTATAAAATTTTGCGATTGAGAAAATTAAAAACCTGCTGCCATTTAATTTAAAGAAGACAAGATGGACAAAATGTCATAAGTTTTTTTTTTAGATTAAAGATTACATACAGTAACTTGAAAAAATATACTAAATTTGATTTATATATAATTTTTAAGTCATGGTTATTTTTAATTTTGTACTAAAGAATAATTGAACTATTATCAATGCAATTGATATAAATAACTAAACTCACCATGGCCCCTCAAAAGCTCAGTTTATTTTCTTCTGCAAAAAATAAAATTACACTTCTTATCTACTACATATTATATTAAATTTTTATTGAAATCAATTTATTTTATAGAAAGGAACTAAATTCAATTAATTTCATAGAAAAGGGCAACCGAATTCAATGAATAGAATATGTATATTTCTTCAAAAGGCTATTCTTTAGCTATTTTTCGATTTCTTTTTTTTTCTCTTTCATCTATAATTCCAATCACGTGTGAAAGTGTTATTGTTACAGTTATCTTATTTTAGTTTTTATTGAAAGTTAAGTTTTTAGTCTTTAGTTTTAATTTGTATCTTTGTTTAAAGATCTATTTCAAAAAAATATGAGCATTTCTAGCCAAAAATTTATATTTGCTAATGGATTTAAAGCACACATTATCTTTGCAGAAAGATTTTTCATTTGGTTTTCCTTTCTGCATAATTTCTCGAAAAATGTTTTTTTTTCTGCAGAATTTTTTTTTAACCTTTTGGCTACGGCAACAAAGATGAAAAAATTCTCCTCTTACCACGGCGCTTTCTTACGGAAATTCTTCCCCCACTAAGTCAGTGGGAGGTAACTACTTTAAAAAGTTATGAATAGGAAATATTTTGTTGCAATTTGTACCTCAGGTTTCCTGGGGAGAGAAGAAGCAGGGTTGTAGACCAGTAGTTGTTTTTGGCATAGTTATACATATTTTGGCTTATTTTTTTTCTAATGTAAGCAAAATAAGTCTAAAAAATAATTTTTTAAACGTTTTTTTTTTAAATATATTAACAATTTCTCTAAAAAACAAGCAAGTTTTTTTACTAAATTATTTAAAATTTCTATTATTTAATAACAGGGTGTTTATTAGTGATCTAGATTCTTGAAGGATTATAAATAAACTTCGATAAAAGAAACCTTTATGCATAATTTTTTTCTAAGTATATTAACAATTTCACTATAAAAGAAGCAAACATTCTACATATTGTTCGAAATTTTTTTGTTTTTTTAAAAGGTGTATTTTGATGTTCTTGAAAAATTATAAATAGACCGCTACAAAAGGGGGGAAAAACACAATACTTTGATAAATAGAATCTTGTTTGAAGTTTTATTCTTGTCCTAAAGTTATAAACAAATTTATACTATTAGATATTGTTAAAAAAAGAAGCTTTCAAAACTGTTTGAAATGAGATGTGAATAAAACAGTTAACGGCATAATTTTTTTTTAATATTTTGAAGGTTTATTTCATGTATCGGTTTAAAAAGTGATACCAAATGCAAATTTTTATTATTCAGATTTTGTTTAACTATTTTACTTGTTTATGTCCTATAAGATCGCATGAAGTACACTCTTATAAAATTGAAAACAAATATCATAAGAGATAAAAAATTATATTTAAATCATTAATATTTTTATTACATAAAATTAATTTTGAAGTATTGTTTTGTGGACAAAATTGAATAAGTTTAATATTAATTATTTAATCCCTTTTAATAAACGGGAAAATAATCTGTAATAATATTTCGTATGTAGAACTTATCACTTATTCATTTAACTACATTATTTATTCCTCATTCTCGCACCTAACTATAAAAATATTTAGTTTTTTTCCTTTTTTTTAACAAAAAATACTGGTGACAAGAACAAAGCAATGTAGCTAATACTTATGAGATTACGTGCATATGGCAGTTTCTGTGTATATAATTGTAATCAATTTTGTCTTTATTTTTTCTCTATTAGAAAATGAACTTGTCATTTTTCGTAACAAAAATTCACGCCCATCTTTGTCTAAAAATTTTATGTCACATTAAAAATCAATAAAATAAATTTAAAAAATAAAAGAAATTCAAAACAAAATTCTCGTAGATTTGATATCTTTAAAATTTCAATAACGGTACATATTGTATGCTAAATGTTTCATTGCATCCAATATTAAAAAAGACTAAGATTTGATAATGTTTATTCTAGGATTTGATAATTTGTTTACAATATAATTAGAAGTTTTACTTATTTTTATTTCTGTTAAAAGCTACAAAGTTCAGTTCAAAAGAAAGCATCTGTTGATCTGAAATCTTTTACAACTAATACATTAAAAATAGAAAGTTTCAAGTCATCTATCAGACACATCCATACAAGCTCGATTGACATACTGAATGCAAAGCATGCATTTACTTTGGTAATTGTGTGGTCCTTTCCTCTGGTGTCGGGAATTAGCTATTGTTAAATTTTTTTAAAATGACAGACCCCGAAATATATTATCAATATTTCTGAAGATAAACAAAGAGGCAGAAAATGCCATTTTGCCTGTGGAAGAAGCAATACTGAAAGGTTGAAATGATTTCGATATCCTGTCTTTTTCAAAATAAGGGAAATAATTTATTTTGTGAGTAGTAAATTACATTGTGGCAAGCTGTGAAGGCACGGAAAGAAATATTTCCTGGAAACTTAGAAAGAAAAAGATGTTTCTCAGACAATAGAACGGGGGACAGGCAGATGCTCAATAGTTAACATGTGGGTGGCATTTTGAGAAATGGAGATTATTTCATTGAG